CCTGCCTGAACACATCTACCTGAACACACCTACCTGAACACACACCTGGCCTGCCTGAACACACCTGCCTGTACACACCTACCTGAACACACCTTCATAAACCACACCTACCTAAACACACACACAGACGCCACACACACACACACACACACACACACACACACACACACCACACAACACACCTCTGAACCCGTCTCTGGACCCGCCCTTGTCCATGAGGGAAGCGAGCAGTCCCCGCCCGAGGCGGCTGGCGGCGCGGCCGTGCGCGTCGTGCAGGAGGAACACGACAAGCACGATGTGCGGAGAATGTGGCCGGCCAAGGCCCCGGCCGCCCTCCAACTTCCAGGCACCTCGAACGGCGCCCTTTGCGGCCAGCCCCTTGGTCGAGCCCTTGGCCCTCGGCGAGGTGGGGCGGGCCGTCGACAAGATAATAAAGCACGCCGAGGCAATGTACCGCAGCAGCGCGCGGCGGGGCTCGGCGCCAACGCGCCCGGTGGATTTCCAAGTCGTAGTAGAAGGCGACTACGTCCTTCCGGGAGGAGATCCACTTGATTGAGAAGGCGAGGCGGGCGAGGCGGCGACCTTTGCCAAACTCTTTTTCCATATATGGGGTGCTGTTCCGCGGGGCGCGGCGGCGCGGCGGCGCGGCGCTCATGCAATATGCAAAAGAACGGCGGCGAGGACCGACCAAGTTCCAGGGGGTCGCGGCCTCCTCCACGCCACCGCGCCGGCACGCCGCATCCGGAGAGCGAGTTTGCCAATTTCGGCGGTCCGACCCGCAAGCTCAATTAGCGGCCATGTTTTCGCCCGGAAGCGGGGCGCGCGCCACCGTAGGCGAGGTCGTAGAGGCGCCGTCCCGCAACCGTGAGGACCGCGGTTCGAAACTCGCAAATTGCTCGCAACTTTTTAATCTGGTTTCGGCTCACTACAGCATGACACAAAAACGATTCGCTCGCCAGGAGGGCGTCGACCATCACCTGGAGCATTTCTCGCATATTTTGGGAACCCGGGCGAGCGCGGGTGTTTTAGTCATTTTCTTGGTTTTGTTGCTGTCGGCCAGTGTCGGCCCTGTCGGCACCGCTAATTGGCGCCAGCCCTCTGACGGGCGCCTCCGATATTTCAGGCGGCGAGGTGGCGGCGCCGACGGGCTGCTGCAGCGCTAATAGCGCGCAGGGCGGCGCAGCGCAGGGCCCTCGGTGCGAATGATGGCTCCCCGCGGACCCAAGGCTGAATTCCCCACGCGGGGGGAGGGGAAAGGGGGGAGGGAGGCAGGGAGGGAGGCAGGGAGGCAGGGAGGGAGGCAGGGAGGCAGGGAGGGAGGGAAGGGAGGTAAGAGGGAGGGAGATAGAGAGGGACGGAGGGAGAGAGGGAGAGGGGAACGGAGAGAGGGACGGAGGCAGGGAGGCAGGGAGGGAAGCAGGGATGGAGGGAGAGAGAGAATGCAGACTGGGGGTGTGACCCGCCTGCCAAGTGGAGGGGGACGGAAGGTTGACGGGGTGCCGGCCTGCAAACTAAGCGCATAAGCCGTGGCATGAGGCCGCCGGAGTACCGCCAAGTACCCCCCGCGGCCCCGGCCCGCCCGGCCTGCCTGCCTGCCTGCCTGCCCGCCCGGCCTCGAGACGCTTCCTCGGCGATAAAAGGGGACTGCCGGCGTGACGGCCGTGACGGGACTTGCCGGGCGCTGCGAGGCACTCCGGCAAGCAGCACTCGGCTACCGTTGTTTTGAAAGCAGCATAAAGCGATGAGAATTACAATCGATTACTTTCTCGGCGCCGAGCGGAGGACGGGCCGTGGCGCGTAGCGGCCTCCGGTGGAGGAGGGGCGGGGTGGGGGTTGGGGTTTTGCAATATTAGTGACTTTGGGCAGCCACTGCGTCAAATTTAGTTGCGGTCATAGGCCTCCCTCGACGCCTTACTATTTTGAAGACCCTACTCTTCCATGCCCCGCCTCGGGCAGGCTTTGACCGCTGATAGTTTGGGAGCAGTGGTCTCGCAAAAATGGTCAAAAAGTGAATGAATTTCAGAAAATTACCGTTTTTGCTGACTTTGAGCGGTCGCTGCATCCAATTTAGTTGCGGTCAAAGGTCTCCCTCGACGCCTTACTATTCTAAAGACCCTACTCTTTCATGCCCCGCCTCGGGCAGGCTTTGACCGCTGATAGTTTGGGAGCAGTGGTCTCGCAAAAATGGTCAAAAAGTGAATGAATTTCAGAAAATCACCGTTTTTGCTGACTTTGAGCGGTCACTGCATCCAATTTAGTTGCGGTCAAAGGTCTCCCTCGACGCCTTACTATTCTGAAGACCCTACTCTTTTATGTTCCGCCTCGGGAAGGCTTTGACCGCTGATAGTTTGGGAGCAGTGGTCTCGCAAATATGGTCAAAAGTGATTGAATCCCCGAAAGTATGATTGTCATTTCATTGGATGATGTTGATTATTTCACTACCAACTAGACGTGCAATGATTATCTTGAGTTGGGTACCCCTTGGCAAGGCATCCCTCGGCAGGCGAGCGATTCAAGATCGGTTGGTGGCTCTGTCTCTCTCGCAGCCTTACGGAGAGCCCCACGAGTGCGACAGAGCGACGAAACGACTCTTCCACGGCAGCACGGCGATCAAGGAGGCGGTGGGATAGTCGACGGGCAAAAACGTTTTAATGGAAATGAGGAAGGAAGCTTCTTGTCACACGCGGTTGGGCGCTTAAAAGCACTCGGCCTCGGCGGTATCGCCCCCTTGCCTCTACAATACTTTTTAGGGCCCGGCCCGCCTGCAGGGCGGACGACAGGGCCGGCAGAGCCCCAGCGTGTCCCGTTAAATGTGGGTCACGATGAGGCGAAGAATAAACTTGGTTATCATGCTGGGGTGGAACAGAAAGGGGGAGGGTGGAGGGGAAGTCTGTACTCTACAACTGCGCGGAAAGCAACAAAAATGTTGCCCCCCAACACAAAGCCGCCCGCAGAAGGCAGCAGTCAGGAGTTAGAGACCTAGAGGCTCCAGGTCTCTACAGTGTCAGGAGTGGCGTGGAGGCGCGAGACCGCCTCCGCCTGGATGCACGCGGTTCGGCGGGGCAAGGGTCAGGCGGGAGGTTCGAAGGACGGCGACTTCGGTCGCTCCTCGTTCCGGGCAGCGTGTCCCCCGGGGGGTGACCAGCCCCAGCCCCTCCCCCCCCCCCCTCCCCCTTGTAGGACGAAGTTCGCTTGGCCGAGACCCAATGGCCGGAACGCCCGGAGAAACTGCACGTCGTCGACCAGGCGAAGGCCTCTCCAGTCAAAGTCTGCCGGCTGGCTGGAGCCTGGCTGGAGCCGGAGAGGCCTTTGGTCGGCCTTGGTCCGCGCGGCGCCCGCTCTACCAGTGGCGTGCCGGGGCGGATGGCCAAATGAATTTCATCAGAGAAATAAAACCGCCTGCTAATTGCGGCCTCGCCGGCCTTCCTGACGTCCTCGCCGTCCTCGCCGCAACGGCAGCTTTGAAAGTCAAATGCCGTCGTCGGTTTCATCGCTCTGTCTCTCTCGCACCCGAGCCGGACGCCCCATGAGTGCGAGAGAGACGGAGCGACGAAACTGACTCTCGGAATCAGACTGCAGGAACAAGCGCGCTTCGTTGCGCGGATCACCGGGTTTCGCGCCAAACGTAATCCCACCGGGATAGGACCTCGCGGACCTCCCGGATGTAAACTTGGCTTTGGTTCGTGGCGCGGGAGAGCCGGTCCGGCACTGCGTGGTCCGGCCGCGGGCTTTACTGCCCACAACATTAATTGCACAGCAGGCAAAATTATGATGATGAAAGAATAATGGCACGGCCGTATTCTCGCAAAGTGCCGACGAGTGGCCCTTTATTCGATTATTCCGACGTCCTTCAGGGTGTGCCAGTGTGCCACAGTGGGCCCGCACTCGGCGGCACTCGACACGGGGGGCGGCACTCGACACGGGGCCGCACGCAGTGGACCAGAAGACCGGCGCGGAGGCGGCCAAAACTCTTGACGCGTTTCGGGCTCCAGAGTCCCTAAATGGTGCTCGAACCGATCGTGTGACCCCACCAAGGAATTGCTCTCCGCACGAGGAATTCATTGGTGGGGTCACACGTTCGGTTCGAGTCCTGTTTAGCAACTCTGGAGCTCAAACTGTGAATAGAGTTTTGGCGACCTCCACCGGTCCTCTGACCCACTGTGCGAGGCAGGCATTCATGCCGCGATACACCGAGCGCCATTGCCTGCCAGTGTCATTCCGCGGGGCTCATTCCGGACGCTTGGCGGCCGAAAAACGGCATTACGGCGCCATCGGGGCATTATGGGCCATCGGCGTCGGGGCGGGGCCGGCGGGGCCGGCGGGGCCGCGCGGGCCCAGTCGACGAGAGTGCGAGGTGGTGATGACGGGCCAACGCCGCCCGCGGCCCGCACGCCATCAGGCCCTCTGCCAAAAAATAAACTGCGGCGGTGATGCTGTTGTTGTACATTCGTACGAAAAACAGAGAAAACGTGGATGAAAAATATTGCCCCAAACCAGGCTCGAACTCGCAACCTCGGTATCGCTATCCGATTGCGCCTCTGGGATTCCCGGACGCAGTGGGTCTCATCCATGAATGAACAGAGTGATCGTCGGGTACCTCCGTTCCCTGCATGCCGGGCTGCATCGGGCCGGAGGTGGCCGCGCCAGCAGCAGCACACAGTGGGCCAGAAGACCGGTGGAGGCGGCCAAAACTCTAGACGCGTTTTGAGCTCCAGAGTCGCTAAACAGGACTCGAACCGAACGTGTGACCCCACCAATGGATTGCTCTCCGTACGAGGAATCCACGTCACACGTTCCATTCGAGTCCTGTTTAGCGACTCTGGAGCACAAAACGCGTCTAGAGTTTTGGCCGCCTCCACCGGTCTTCTGGCCCACTGTGCAACAGTAGTTTTCATCGCACTATCTCTCTCGCGGTCATAGTACGTACACATTCAAAAGTGGCGCCCACTGTACTGCGACCTTCCGCTGTCTGCCGCAAGAGAGCGCTGCTGTCTAGCAGGACAAACAACAACAAACAAGGAGCAAGGAGGAGGCGAAGGAGGAAGGAGGCATCACACACCGACCGATAGAAACTGATTTGTGTGGGTGTGCCGTTTAGTGACGGGCAAGTCTGGATCGGTGTCCTGGTGCAGGATAGAGGGTTGCCGTTGCCAGGCAGATGAGCTGCTGCAAGGACCCTGTGGCGGCTATGTCCTGAAAACCGCTCGTCGGCCCGTCGCCAGCCGGGCCCTGCTCTCCTCTTGTCTCGGGCAATAATCACACTCGAGACTGGTGAGGGACACGAATTCTCTAGATGGGCAATGTATCTCACGAATTGCCTTGATCATTGAGCAGCTTTACTGCGCCCAGGCTGCATAAGTAGTCAGCTGTCCAGTTGTCGCTGAATCACTTTGTACTAGCATAACCACTTACTCACTCAGCTGGTTTGATCTCAATGAGGACCCAAATCCTCAATGGGATAAACTGACAACAACATGATCGTTATGACATAATGATCCTTTGATGATGGGGATCCAAAAATCAGCTACGATGTACTTTGTACTTCCAATGACGACACTTTGTTCCATCGTGACTTATTTCTCCCTTAGGAGGTGATCTTTCGCAGGGATGGAGCAGGAACCAAGGAAAGCATCGCACGACAAAAAGTGTCAACAAAAGTGCACTTATCGATACATTGCATACATTGAAGAAACATTCCACAAGTGAGTTGCAGTTTGGGTAGTGGTTTGGGTGTGCAAATTTGAACATCAATCATACTTTCTTCACAACAAATTATTTGGTCTTTTCCAGTCATGGAGAAAGAGTGGCACAAAATCCGAGAATGTGTATACTGATTGCATTCTTGTCTGTCCTGGCGATGGTGGCTGGATTTCTTTGCTTTAGGCAAGAGAGAAATCCACTTCGCTTGTGGATACCTGAGGACTCTCACTTTTACACTGATACAAATTGGTTAATGGCTGAGTATGGCGAAGGCCTAAGATTACAAACTGTTCTGATCACTGCTCCAGATGTCCTACAGCCAAATGTAATGCAACAGGTAAGACTTCCAAAGTCAGGTCAACCATCGACCTGCAACTAGTCAAGACTGTTTGAATACTATACTACTTACTTGTTCTTGTTTCAGCTTTTGAAAATCCATGAGTTACTTGTCAACCCTATAGGTCCAACAACTGCTTGGGAAGATATTTGCTTCAAGTAAGTGGAAGATTTGCCACTTGATGTTATGTTTGGCCCACAAAATTTGCTTAATCAATGTTCTTCACAGAGTCCCAATTATTGGTTTTAATGTAGAGGAGTCAAGAATACGTCGAGAAGTGGAAGGATCTAGATTGTCTGACGAGATCAATACCTCATTCAACGAAGCCTTTTTTAAAGAAGGTGTCAGTACTGTTGCTTACATTCTTTTAAATTTAATTTGTCTTTTCACCTTCTTTTGAGTTACCACTTAAATTATTGTTGCTATGTTTTATTATTATTTGTAGGCGAACCCAAGTGTATCTGGACCCCCCAATATTCAGCAAATGATGACCGATGAGACATTTGATCCATCAATTCTACTTGGTACTACTTTGTACTGTAGCATAGTCAAAAACATGGAACTTGGTTGTTTGCAACAGAATCTGTTAGATCTCTGGAGGTTCAGTGAAACTAAAATGAGGAATCTCACCAAGGCAAAAATGATAAGTGATCTCAATAGTACAATATTTAGGTGAGAAGTATAAGTTATTGTCAAAACAATGAAACAAAGATATTGCATGTGACTTTTTTAAAACTGAAACTCTTTCAGCCCAACTTTAGGGCACCCAATTTCTTATAAATCACTACTTGGTGGCATAACTTATGATGAAAATGGAGTCATAATTTCTGCCAAAGCTTTGATGACTCTGTATGCAGTTCATGTCAACTTTTCAACTGTGAATATGGATGAGGTTGGCAACCAAGGTGGCACTGCAGATTGGGTGATTATCACTTTGTTTTAAAAAACATATTCACCACTATAATTATAACTATTGTTTATCAATTATTTCTCCCAGGCAAATGGACCAGGTCTAGAATGGGAATCCTATTTTTTAAAAATAATGCACAAAGTTGCTGCAAATAGCACAGGGATGGAAATTTTCTATGAAGCTGGAAGAAGGTAGATATGTCACATGCTCTTCTATCTGTAAACTGCACAAATAGTAACAGGGCACTATAAGGGGTATACTTATTTGTGTTTTTAAAACCATTTTTTTTTTTTAATTTATTTTTAGCTTTGGAGACATAAGTGCTTCAGGAATGTTCCAGGACATGGACAAAATTTTCATTGGTGTAATTTTAATGCTGGTTTACATTCAAGTGCAACAGACCAACAGAAGCTGGGTAGAAACTCGAGTCAGTAGCCAAGTGAACATTGATTGATCTTTCTTTTTAAAAAGTGCAATACATTTTTAACAAAGCTGCTCCTGTTCCAGATGATACCCAGCATGGTAGGCCTCCTGTGTGTTGGCTTGGCTTTTGTGTCATCATGTGGCCTCTGTTCTCTTGTGGGTATTCCCTATGGCCCTGTTCACACATCCCTCCCCTTCCTGTTATTGGGAATCGGTGTTGACGATATGTTTGTAATACTCAACTGTTGGAACTCATTACCAAACCAAGATAAAATCTTACCAATACCCCAACGCATGGGAGTGGCTATGCGTCATGCTGGTCTATCAATCAGTATCACAAGTGTCACAGATTTTGTGGCATTTTTGATTGGGTCTACAACTATTTTACCTTCTTTGCGATCCTTCTGCTTGTACGCTGGAGTGGGGGTGCTCATAACATTCATTCTTCAGTCAACCCTTTTTGTGGCTGCTCTTGCCCTTGATCAAACACGCCTGGAAGCAGGGCGCAACTGCGTGATACCATGTGTGCGGCACACACCGCCAAAACTCCATGATGTTGAGTACTTTTCGCAGTGCTCTTACGGTCTTAATTTTATTTATTCGAATGTAATCATGACCAAATTTGGAAAGGTATGTTGATCTTGCTTGAATGGCTTTTTGTTTTGGTTTTGTCTTGCCAAATGTTAGTTGTTTATTGCTCTCTTCTTCCTTTTCAAGATATTTGTTATTCTTGTAACTGTTGTGTTTGTGAGTGCTTCGGTTATCGGAAATTTAAGAATTAAACAAGAGTTTAAGCCTGAGTGGTTTTTGGACAATGAAAGTCATCTGTACAAGGTAATTTGTAATTCACAGTCAGTGGAGTCTGCAAATTTCTGCTGCATATGTATGTCAACTGTGAGTTGTTCTTGTGCATTGTAATCTGGTTTTCAGTTCCTAGAGAAACGCAATGAATTCTTCCCTGACTTTGGCAATAGTGCTGGAATATACATGGGTCAACTGCACTATAATGAAGAATTGAAAAAAATTGGGCTCCTTGTTGAGCAGTTAAAAAATCACAGTGATATTTTAATGAATGTTGAAGACTGGTGGTCAGGTTTTCAAAGATATGTGAAGTTCCACTTTAGGAAAGGTCAGTAAATGCATCTTGACCTTAAAAACATTTGTTTTGTGAATGGACTGCTTTTAATCCAGCCCAATTCTCTGTTCATAGACATAGAGAGTGAAGTTCTCAGTGATAGTGATTTCAATCAATATATATCTCAGTATCTTTTTAGTCCATCTGGAGCTCGCTTTCAAAAAAACTTCAGGTTCTCTGAGCCTCTTGAGTGTGGCAAACCGGCCTCCAATATTACTGTAAGTGATGAGCTACTGTGTATGTTGTCCTCACCAGTCTTTTTCCATTGTATCTAAAACTTGAAATTGACAGGTTGCCAGTATTGACTTTTTCTTCAGAAAATTTGAAAGTTCTGAACAAAGTGTACCTGCAATGAATGCTGTGAAATTCCTGGTGGTGAATGCCAACTTTACCTCTGGTGACCGATTTGCTACTGTGTGGGCAAAAGTGTTTGCTAATTGGGTCACTGATGAGGTATGCATGAACTAATTTACTCTTGACTTAAACTTTCCGGTAGATAAAAATCAAATAATATTGCTGCTGTCATTATTTAAAGGTGATTGCATTTGAACTTGTTCGAAACATTGTGCTGGCTATTTTAGCTGTGGCAGTAACAACATTTATTCTCCTGGGATCTATATATGCAAGCGCTTTGGTTCTCTCATGTGTCATTCTTACTCTGGTAAGTGGTCATATTTGTAAGCTTTTTGTTGATCAGTTATGATTGATGTGAATGTACAGTTATAAAGAAGTGAAAATGAGTAAATATTTTACTTGAAGGGGTATTGAAGGGTTGCAACTCATCTTCAACCGATTGAAGTGGTTGTATGCAGGCAGCCCTCCTTCTACTGGTCAGCAATACTGATGCAATGTGTTCAGCTTGTTTTAAATTGCCCCTTTTCACGTTTCAGGTGAACACCATTGGATATATGTACTTTTGGGGTTTAACCATTGACCTTGTTTCAAGTATTGCTTTGGTCCTGGCTGTCGGTCTGTGTGTTGATTTTGCTGCCCACATTGCCTATGCATTCATGGGTGTTAAAGGGCCCCGGAATGAAAGAGCGATGTTTGCGGTGTCTTACATTGGAGGTGCAGTTTTACATGGTGGAGCGACCACTTTGTTAGCCCTTTCAGTCCTTGTCTTTTCTAATTCTTACATCTTCACTGCATTTTTCAAGGTTTGTTGTTCATATTTTCTTTGGTATAGTGGTTTGTGACGTATTAATTATTATTTTAATGTAATCCTCTTTTCTACAGGTATTCCTTTTGGTAATAGTACTTGGACTTTTCCATGGTATTGTCTTTCTGCCAGTTGTCTTGAGTGTAATTGGCCCAAAACCTTATCCAAATGCAAAGCAACTTCAATGTAACATTGTTAATGACCAAGCTTTAGAGCCTGTGAATGAAGGGCTGTCATTCATCTCATGAAACTTGTCTTCCCATTGTTATTTTCCTTCTTTGGGAAGAACCTTCCCTCCAGTCGGGTGATATCAATGCAACCTTTTACTCAGTATTATTGTTTTATCAAAACAGCACATTGTAAATGTATTTAGAAATAATACATGAAATTTTATGTCATGATTTTGTTTAAAAATATTTGTAATTCATTTTTTTCTTTGAAAATACTTATGATTTATTTTCTTTGTCAATGTTAGTGAGATTATTTTATGGATGTTTAATTTAGCAGTCGCAATCGTTGCTAGCTTACTTTCTTTCTTTCTCTTTTTATGTTCTAGTCGATGCAACTTGTGATATTGGTCACCTGACCATTTTAACGTTGCTTAACTTTTGACTTCGCCAATTAGAAAATAAAGTTTCTTTGAAATCTTTGTTTACTACTGTGCCTGCATTCTGATTTCCACGAGCACAACCCGCACCATCTGGATGCAAATTTGAATTTGGCGCCCTAAGGACACGAGCACGAGGAGCGGAAGGACATGAATGAGTCATACCCGGGCCGTACCGATGGAGTCAAATGAAACGATTAATGGGGAAATTCTTCAAATCGAACATCAAATATTCGAAAAGAGGTCGTTCAACTGTCTGTTCCCACGGTCCATGATCTGAAACTTGGGACAGTGCATCGTACGCGCTTTAAATTTAGTGCCAGTGCCTTGTGCTGACGTACGTAGTCAAAGGATACGCGGCGCGAAAGGAGTGCACTGCCAACTGTACAATACCAACATTACTTAGCACTATGGCTTTATGCAACAGATTTTCGCTAATTTTTAAACAAAACTACATTTGAAAGCGTCTGTGATCTCTATAACGTTCCACACGATTTGTATTTTCATTGATGGTGGAAATAAATTTTCTTTCGATTTAGCTCGGAGGTTAGCCAAAGCCAAGCAGCCAACAACAAAGAAAGCATGTTGTTTGTCCAGCGCCATTGTGGCGTCTCTTGCTTGGCGTCGGAGTGCAGCGTCAATATTTATGCCCCGCAACAAGTGCATCCAGTGCATTTCGCTACCATTCTAGTGCATCTGACTCCTGGAAGATAATTCTACAGTTGTCGAGTCATACATTGACTTTGACCAACCATAAACAAGCGGAATCATCCAAGGCGGTGTTCTGTGTCAAGTGCCGACGCGAGTTGTTTACCTTTAAACCCAGTGCAACAAGTGTGATATTCAGCATTGTTGACGGTGATGCTTCAAATGTGCTTCCGTGGTTTATTAGTCATGGAAAGCGAACTGCGATTTCGGAAACGAGTGGGCCCTTGAGTGTCATGACTGACGGCGATTGGTTATATTGTGCCATGAAGTATGGAAGATAAGTCCCTGTCCCCAACTCCGGCCATGCCGGCATCAGGGCCTCCAGGGCCTCCAGGACGGAGCAGGTCAAGGCGGCGTCTCAACGTGAGCTCTCCCCCTAAAGCCCAGAAGACAGTGCGCTCACCACCGAAGAAGAAGAACGTCAACTTTGCTTCTGTGACTGCCCCATCACAAGATGCAGAACTCTCTGCCAGCTGCAGCTTTGGTAGTTCCCATAGTAGTGGTTCAACCCTCGATAGAAGACTGACAAGAAGTGCATCCAAAAGGTGGCTTAAGGTTTACGAGTCCAGTGGGCCTATGCTCCAAAATGAGGCTCCTGTTGCAAGTACAAGTATGCTTCCACCCCCGCAACCTACAGTTCCTCTAGTTCGTGCAACCACCTGTGGTGTCACAACCCGTTTGAGGGACAGTACTGCTAGAAATGGCAATACAGATGTCAATAGAATATCTCAGAACTTTTTCAAGAGACTTTCATTTGACCAAATCAGTAATACGAGTGATTATGGTACTGCTTCAGAACATTCTCGCAAGTGCTCTGTTGCTTCTGGGGGCATGTCACCTGTCAGTGACTCTGGCCACAGTTGTGCCTCTATCAGTGGCATTGAAAGCCTGGGAACATCGAGCTGTGACGAAGCACCTCCACCCCAGGTTGGTGCCATGGAGTGGGCACACCAGCCCTGGGTAGGAGAAAGCGTGGACTTGCGGAGGCCCCATGTTACAGTTCACACTGTTGAAGGGGTGACTGCCTTCATACCTGACTTAAACCAGTCACAGTACACTGGGGACTTCAGTGTCACCATCAAGGCTGATGTTGGTGGAGTCAAAATGTATAGGTAAGTTCAATGAACATCTGTGTTCCCACCTGTCCTTAGGGACTTGCTTTGATTTTTTAAAATCATGTTTTCCCCTAGAATCTTTGTACTTGCAGCATGTCAGCATTGGATCTTCAGTGGATTCTGCAGGCAGACTCATTTGAACCAGATATTTTCTTTCCTAAAAGGCACCTTGTTTCACCCTTTTTTTTGAAGGACGTTTCTTGCAAGTTTACTGCATTCATCATTATTCTTTTCAGTTTTCCAAGCAACCAGTGCATTAAAGTTTTTAAATTCAACATCAACAATCATACTATTAGTAAACTCTCTTGATTACAAGTAGTGTAATTGGTACAATTTCCTATAAATTCCCATTTTGAAGTTTCAATTATTTGCTCTCTTCAGTTCATGTATTGGAGTTGCTTTACAAACTAAGAAACATGAAAAAAAAAATGCTTTTTCTTTTTGATAATGAAGATAAGTTAACAAGGAAGACATATGTCACCAAGATTCATCAAGGACATCTTTACTCATTTCACCGAGCTCCTCATCAAGACTGGCATCAATATCATCATCAAGCTAATCAGCAATCAGCAAACTTTGAAGTTTTAAAATATATTTCATTGAAAAGTTCTTAAAAGTCATTAAAAATTTCTATTCATAAACTAATTTTGTTTTTAAAGACAGTAGCATTTTAAAACTTATTGATCTTGTAAAGATTAACTGTCAATTTAAAGTTAACAACCTTCTCTAAGCCTTTTGAATTTCGTATTCATTTTATTTTTATCAATAGCGCTTTTATTAATTTTCAAAAAGTAGTCTGTTTGCACTTCAAATTGAGGCGTTTTTTTGTTCCTGGGTATCACGACCATCTTCTACTCCAAGACCTGCTTTGAAGATTATCATCTGCCTGAAGACATCAATGGAATGCCACCAATACTAATGGATATTTGGATTCCTTAAAGTTGCTTAAGTTAAAGTTTTTTTTTTTTTGAAGACACAGACTTTTCTTTGCATTCTAAGGTTCCAATATTCAATATTCTTGATTGAATTTTTTCAAAAGTATTCTTTTTTAAATTGAGGAATCAGTATTTCCTTCCAAGTTCAATCAACTCGTTTGAAGCATATTGTTCTCAACTATTGTGTTCTTTAACATTTGGACCTAATGCTTCCTTTTTTTGTGTGTCTTAGACTTTTAACAACTAGTCATGGTCTTTCCTTTGTGATGGATCAAAGTTCAAAAAAATACCGTCAATTTTGTCCCTACACCTATTCAACCCTGTTTTGTCCCTTTCATACAAATCATGTCCTATTCTTCATCTAGCTAGGTTGTTGCTATAGGGTTCAGGACTTGAAATATTTCCCACCACAGCCCAGCCAACAGCTAGCTCTGCAGCTATGCCTACTGAGAAATTTATACCTCCTCATCTCTTTCTCAGCAGCCTGTCACTCGGAATAGAACACCTTTTGAAGATACCATGTTGGCCCATGAAGAAAACCTTGAAGACCCAGTGAAGATGATTCCAAACCTTGAAAGGGAATTTGCTATTTGAGCATACTCAAGAAAATTCAAATTTCATGCCATTGATCTTGGAGGCAAAGCTTTAAAAGTACTTCAAACATGCAGAGAGCAAGTGATTGATATAAGTTTCATTAAATCCATGCACCCACATGTGTTTCAAGTGGGATGTAAGCAATAATTTTAGTTTTCATCACCTTAGAAATCACCTTGGAGTGATCAGCCCAGCTATCATGCAGGTAAGCATGGATTAGCCTCTGTCCTGGAAGGAATTTTCCTTTACTTTAAGTTGATGTTTCAGTATCTGGTCACTGGTTGTGTATGCAAAGTTTAGAAGCTATGTGTTTGCAGTGAACTTGCCTGGTGTCCTTTCTCAGTAACTTCTTGTAGATATAGATGTTCTTGTCTTCCAGCAGTTGGCAGCAAATATTTGGATCATTGTGCACCCCTTCCTTTACAGTTTCTTTTGTGGTGGAAATCGAAAAGGGTTTTGTTTTGCCTCTCTGAGTGACATTTGTGTTTTGTTCTCGTTTCTCTTCAGACCTCCAATTTGCTCCAGTCTGAGAGTACACCATATTAGCCCTATTGTATCAATGGGACCTCATGGTGTTCAGTTCCATGAAAATTTGCCTGTAATGTTAGTACTGCCATTGAGCATCGAGCCATCTGATGAAGAGTGGATATCTTGCCTCTATAGCAACACTGAAGCAGGTTGCCAGCCATCTTGGGAGAGACTGCCACGCAAAGATTATTCTTACAGGTCTGTCTCTGAAAGCCTTTTATTTTGCCTATTCTCAAAATGTTGTTCAGCTTGCTCACAGTGGCTTTTCTTGTTTTAGAAATGGCTCTGTTGTCATCACCACAAACCATTTTAGTCTCTTCACTGTTGTGTTGGAAGAACCATATCCTGAAGTTATGAAAAGAATAAGAAGGCGGACAGGCGGGCGTCTGTTGCTTAATGAAGTACCTGGAGTTGAGGTAAATATTGTACCCTACGAGAGTTGTTTATTTTACTAACTTACCAAGCTTGTGACTGACGTGAACCAATTGACATCTGTTTAGGTTGTATTCCCCCATGGATCTCTTGATCAAGATTTGGATGCCTACTTACGAGTTCTTTACAATCAAGAACCAATGCTGAATAGTGGTGAAGAAGCGGCTCACATCCATGGAGCCCTGGCATCACCTGTCATCATGTTGGGACCTCATGGACATGCCTTCAGCACCAGAAGGGAACCTGTAAGACACCTTTACTTGGCTAATATTTGAATACTTCCCATGATTGCTGGAAAATAATGAATATTAATCAAAATTTTTGCTTCCTTAGGTCCGCATTAAATTACCGATTCCCCACTATCATGAAATTCGTGCTCGGTTTGGAAATGTTGGGCTCACTGTTTGGCAGAGCTCCACATCAGAGGGGGAACCAACTTGTTGGCAACGCTTGGAGTCTTCACTTTTACAAATTGAACCACCTGTGGCAGGCCTAAATGTTGTTGTGGTTTCGTTTGCTGTTCATCACTTTTCATTCTTCAAAGTTGTGTGGGACCTTCTCTCCACATCGCTAACAGAAGCCAAAATGGGAATGTCTTATTTCTATCCGTATATATCTTTTTCCATGATGTGTCAAGCGTTTATGGAAGAAAGTAATGAAGCTCGATTTGGTCTTGAAGTGATTTGCTATCGTTCTGATAAAACACTCCCTGAACAGACGAACTACAGGTTTGTTAAATTTCCAATCCCTTACACATGTACTCCCTTAGAATTTTCCTAATTTGCCTTATCTCTCAATCAGGCATCGGGTTGGAGCCAGTACCAAGCCAAAACTTGTGAGACCAGGACGTATACTTGTCAGATTAAAATCCCAAATGTTTGAAGCTGATATTGACGCTGGTGAAGATTCTGCTATGTCCAAGGAGGAGCCTGATTTCAGAGGGCGCGATTTTGAGAAGCAGTATGCCTGCAGGTAAAATTTGTTCCACATCTTGTTACAGGAAGTTTGCAATCTCACGTTTGCAATGCTTATTTTGATTTGCAACAAACATCTTAAACATCTTTGTGGTTTGTTCAACAGGTTCAAGCAGAATGTAAATATTGAAAGTGGGACGTTTGGAAAAGTTATTGTGGAAAGAGTATCAACAACTGGTACCAAGAATGATCCTCTCTTCGAATTCAATTTAAATAAGGTGTGTATGGTTTTTGTTCTATCCATTGTGAGTGAAGTCTGATCCAAGAGAATGGCTGAAAGCGACCTTGCCATTAGGTTTTTGGATAAAACTCCATGTTAATTCAAAATTTAATGTGCAAGTTTTTCTTTGGTAAAAACAACTTTATATGAATTAAGGGCTGAGAGTTATTCATTGATCATTTGTGTAAATTTTGTATAACAATTGATTGTAACTGGGCTCTTAATTTATTTTAAACATTTTGGTTGTTCTTCCAGTCTGATGCTGGTCATGAAGTATTGCAACCAATGGGTAGTGAGCGTTGGACCGCTTTTGCCATGAAAGAGTTGGCATCCACGCTGCAAATTACAGAAGGCCACAACTGGAAAAAATTTGCTCAACATATTGGATTTACGAAGAGTGAAATTAAGACTAAGTTTCAGGTAAGCTATTGTAGAATCACTGCCATTCTAGTTAATTAATATCAAGTTTACTGAATTTTTCCTTAATCTTATTTTAGTATTCTCCGGATCCTTTCCTTGCCATAATGAACATGTATGGGTCACGTGGAGGTACACCTGAAGAGTTTATGCAAGCACTATATGCAGTCTCTCGAGACCTAAACCTCAATGCTGGCATGTCTGGTGGTTCTCTCAGTGACATGAATAGTTCTAGTCAATCCAGCACTGGATCAAAGGGGTCTGGTAGCCGCGATTCTGGTTCAAGGCACTCAAGAGGTAGTGGTAACCGATTTGGTGGACTTTGGGGATACCGCCCTTGGGGTCAAGTCAATAATGACTCTGATTCAGGTAAAATTTGTTTTTATTGACATTTTTGAAGTAAATTAACCATTATAAGGCTTTTGTCTAATATATGTACATACATTGTTCACAATAGATTCTATGCCGGCTGATGCTAAGGAAGGCGCAAGAAAACGGTCTCATCCAAGTTTAGAAAAGAAGAATAGTGGTGCAAGCAGTTCTGCTAAAAGGCGAAAGTTCTCTGATGTATCAGAAACTGTATCTTCAGGAAGTGAGGGGGATGAGGACAACAGTGACCAAGAGGCTGAAAAATCTAACAACAGACACATGTATGTTTCATTCTTACATTAAAGATATTTTACTTATCCCTTTCATGCTGATGTTTATCTAAATCTGTAAATACATCTTTGTCATAGAAAAAACAAACGACGTCTCAGTGATAAAGACATGTGGAGGATATCAACAGGAATAGCTCGAAAAGATTGGAGATTCTTAGGAAGAACATTGGGTATTGAAGAAAGGGTAAGTGAGGTCATCTCTCCATAAGAATAAATTTTTTAGCATTTCTTAATTTATTTGGCGCTTTTTTACCTGTTAGTGTGATCCAAGTAATAAATCAAGTGTATGTTCACAGGTGTTGGTGGATTTGGAGCATCAGTACCAACCAGTGGGATTCCGAGAATGTGCCTACCAAATGTTGTTGGAGTGGAAAGGGTGCAAACCTCGCAAATGTACTTTTGGAAATCTTTACAGTGCCCTTATTAGAGAAAACATGGTCGAAATTGCCAAACACATGGTGAAAATTCTGCCTAATGGAGAAGAAGATGCACGTGAAAGGGACTTCAATGATCAATGACTTGATTCATCTCATATTTTCATTTTGTCAAACACTTTGACCTCATCTAAGAAAACCATCCTGACTCTTCAGGGCGCCAGGAGACCATCAACTCGCCGGGGCACTGAGCGCCCCTGCGAGTTCGGATGGTTTCCAAGCGCCCAGAAAGGATAGCATGTTTTTTTTAGGAGTTTGGTATTGCTTGCTTCTGGCTGCAGAGTGAGATTTGTCCTGTAATTTTAATTTTTTCTGTGCAGTTTTGTAATATATTTGAGCAAGTGTCCTTGAAATTTTATTATCAATGTTATGTTACTATTTATTTCTGCAATTGAAACAAATTTGTACATTGAACTTGTGTACAAAACTCTTTACTGTAAGTTTTATTTGTGTGACTTTGAATACTGTAAAATAATATTGTCTTAAAATGTACATGAAATTCTGCCACAATTGTTATCTATGTATAGGTGTCAATTTTATAGTATCTATTTTTATAAAAAGTATATTTATCCATATCAGCATCTTTACAGAAGACTTGGCTGTCTTCACGCACGCGATCGGGAGTGACTGGGGCTCTCTTAATACTTAATGCTTTGATCCAAAAAGGGTTTCTTTTGCTCCTTTTTGTCCAAGATGTTGGTTGGTTGTAGCTCCGCGCTTAGCTTTGTCTCTTCAGTCTATGTGGAGTTTGCCAAGTCTCCTGTAGAGGTTTCGATTTATGCTTCTCAATATTTATTTTGAACAGAATGCTACAAATCTCACTCAGTTTTTATGGGGGTAATGGTTCTAAATGTGTATCAAATGCAATGTTTGCACTCACATATTTTTCTTGACTTACATATGCCTTGAGGTTTTTAAAAATAGATGACCTGTAATTTCCAGTATTTTGCATGGAGTCAATGAAGGAACTTCTTCCAAGAACTCTGCAAACGCTAGTGTGTGCTAAGTGCCATGCACACACTTGCGTTTGCAGAGAAAGTGACAAACTTGGATGGTATTGTACTTTCAATTTTGTCCAATTTTTTTCTTGAACACTAGGTTAGGCTTTTGTTGATCTCCAAACTAGATTATACCCATGGTGTAATGTCTTGTGGTCTTGTTGTTGATTTTTATCTTATCAATGCAAAATTATCAATTATGCAATTGAGATGTTATTAGTTTTTTATGATGTTATAATGTATAACTACATGAAATAAAAATTTTCATCAAGTTTTACTGGACTTACTTGTTTATTCAAAGCCCTTAATCCCCATCCCTCAGCTCAAGGTGTTGATGGCGACATCAGTTTGACTTTCTTTGACTCCTTGGTGAGCTGGGGTGCCGCTCTGTGAATATTTCTTGTCACTTTATGACAAAATCGTGGATGATGTTTTCATCACTTTCAAATGATGACGGCCTCATCACAAATTGATGACATTTTCATCAAAGCTCCTATACTTATTGGATGTGTTAGGTACTTGTTGTGACTGAACGGGATGGAATCAAAGGCAGGTGTAGTACGTACAGTGTCACTGGTACAGTCTTCCCTCGCTCGGGTCCAGAAATAGGACGGCCGATTCCCCCTTTCACAGTTGGGAGCGGATCATGACAAAGGTGAAGGAATTGAATTGGTTTAATTCATAAACTTAGTGGGTAGACAATAACTGTGGCTCATTTCATTCGAGCAAAGTCGAGAAATCTGCTTTTGTGAGAGGGAGGAGACTCAAAATTTTCAGCGGTGCGTAAGTAGTTTGGCTCACTTGGGTTACTTGGCTCAATAAAAAGTTCATTAAAAATTAATCACAATTTTACTTTATATATTTGTGGATGGCATGTATGGCACTTCAAATCAGTACTTAACATTTCTTATCGGAAGCTTACACAACAATCTGCATTTTTTTAAAATCCTCTTCACTCACAACATCAATAAATGTCACAAAATTTAAGTGGATAATGACCAATTAGAATTTCCACAGGGACAACATCAAAATCAGAAGGTGCCACATTGTTGTTGGAAAGTTAAAAGAAAATAACACCCATGATTCTGATGTCTTTCCACTGAGTTCCTTCTTTAGAAACACATGCCAGATAAAGGCAACATACACTAGGCAATTTCAAAACATATATGACTTAGGATAAGAACTCTTTTATGAAATAATATATTTGCTGAATTTAGACATGTATTCAGCCTTTATTCTGCTTTATTAAAGCAATATAAATAACAACAGAGTTGAGAATCACAAAAGAATAATTCAGGGGCACATACACTAATAAATACATCCATCACAAAAAAAAAAACAAGAAAAACAACTGTTGAAAATATAATACATATATCATGGACAATAAAATTAATACAACATTGTTCTATACATATGGTTAACTTTAGGGGCCCTGACATAACATTTTCATCTGTAAGTGCCGTACAGCGTATCAACTATCGTATATATTTGATGAAAATGGGGTCTTCTTTGCGGTTCTGTTTCCCAACATCGGAGCATGAGTCTATACATGTCTTCTGGTGTTCCATCTGGTGACGGCATCCGATATCCTGTTGCACAAAAAAAGTTAAAGTCATTTATCAAGCAAACACACAAGATAGATAGACCCTGCTGAAAGAAAAGAAACCATACCTGCATCTATTTTTTCTCTGGCTTTTGTGTTGCTGAATCCTGCATAAGGGGTTCCTCCTCTTGAAAACACTTCCCAACATAATATTCCATAGCTCCATACATCACACAATGAAGTATATTTTCCTGGTAAGAAATTTAATAAAGTTAATAATAATCAACCACAATATTGACAGACTTAACACCTCCACAAATTAAAAATTTCAAAACAATAGATGATCTAGTCAGTTCTGTACCGAAATCAAAAATACCAAAGTAATAGCTAACCAAAATTTAGAGCTTCAGGTGCAGTCCATTTGATGGGAATCTGTTTCATTCCATCGGAAACAATGTATTCCTCCTCTTCTCTAGACATGCCAAAATCAGAAATTTTGACGATGTTTTCATGACCTACAATTACAAAAAAATAAATAAAGACACATCCATTATGCATGATTTTCACAAAGACAAAAATTGTTCATTGAACTCACCAACAAGACAATTCCGTGCCGCAAGATCTCTATGGATGCAATTTTTACTCTCCAGATATCGCATTCCCCCAGCAACATCACGACACATGGCTACTAATTGTTTCTCTGATAAAATCGCTGCATGATTTCTCAAGAAAACAAGCAAAGAGCCCCCTGCACAAACCAAGAATTAGTCAGTAACAAAAATAAAGGTTGGAAGAATTTTTGTCCTCATCCAAGAAACAACTTACCTGGCACAAGTTCCATCACAATCATTATTGGCTGTTTCTGAACTGCAATGCCTATTAGGCGAACAATATTTGGATGGTCATACTGTTTCAATATCCTGCCCTCTTGCAGAAACTTGCGCTTGTGGTCCTCAGGAAGTTGAACTCTACAAGTTTTTACTGCAACTTCCTGCCTGCCTGGCTTCAGTTGGGCCTTATAAACATCTCCAAAGTTTCCCTGAGAGATGAACAGCACAACCAGATTAAAAATAATCAAGATAAAATATTTACTTAATTATTTTTATACCATAAGGTTACTTACACGCCCTATTTTGTCTTGTAAAACAATATCGTCATTATTTAGCTCCCATCTTTCTCTTGGAATTGGATGCCTAAGTATGGCACCAGATCGACTTGTAACAGGTTGACCATTATTATATTGATAGGCTATTAAAGCTGATATAGTCGGGAATGCAGGGCCTTCAAACCTATATTGTCCCTGTTATAACAAGAAAGGTAGAAATATTAACATGCACTAAGGAGCACTGATCAAGTAGGGAAAGGATAACCGGTGATGATACATACTTCAGCAGTAGTTTGGACAATGAAGTGTTTATGGCCACCCCATGAAACTGAAAGTACAGTTTGACACTCATCATTTCTCGTTGTTTGACGAACCAAAAAGTCCCCTTCATGTTTCAATAATCTCACAACTTCTTCACGAGGAAGAACACCGTGGAACCATTCCTCATCTGCTAAAGTTCTGGTGGTGCTTACTGAATCCTGCCCCAACAAATAAAATACATCAAAATTAATAAGAAACACATACTCTAGACAGAAAACTGATTTATACAAATATTAATATCAAAATGCCCAATCAACACATGCTTGATTTGAGAACAATTTGTTTAAAATTCATAGAACTCTCAATCATACACAAACTAGATCATGAATTTGCAAGGGCACAAAGTACAATTTTAAAAAAAGTTGTCATGAATAAAATGCTTATTTTGGCTCATGCACTTTTATCAAACCAACACAAAAATGTGGAACTAGCTAGCACTTCTCAGCTATGAAATGAAATCTAGTTATTTCTTACAAATAAGCATGCGAGGATCCTGTTAGCTTACCATATCACAATTTAAGGAATTTAGCACCAGGCAGGGATTAGCAGCATCAGCAACACAATCCTGGTTATTTAACAAGAAGCGGTGGGGTGATGGTGGCGACATGTCCAGTCCTCGGCCATCATTCCCTTCGGTACCAGCAGGGCAATGCAACAACTGGTCATCTTCAAAATCAACCACAGTCCTCACCAGCTGTTCCATATCTCCCTCCACCTCCACCCCGTTGCTAACGCCACTTCCAATGTCTTCATGGTTGTTCCTCCTTGCACCTACAGGTGACGTTGGCACAGATTTTCTGCGGAATGGCTTCCTTAGAATGCTGACTAGACGTTGCTGAGCAAAATTACGTTTGTGAACTAGAGATGATGGATCATCCTGCCAGAAACATGAAATAAGTTTTTAAGTGGCTCTTATTTGTATTAGGAGATTTTATTAAAGTTAAAGCTTACCTGTAATTGTTCTGAAGTTTCAATAAAAGATGATTCCAAAGGAATATCACAACCAGGTGGGGCTTCTTCACAGCCAAGTGAAGCAAGAGCATTTTTAATAACTTCTGCCTGCCTAGAAATTTTATGTTCCTCACATCGGACCTCATTTAATTCCTTACGGACAGCATCCACAATAAACAGCCTAGAATTTGTGAACAGATTTTCGATTACTTTTAAACAACAGGAATTCTGTGCTACCTTTACTCACAGAAAATAAATACTTACTAACCTGTGAACTTCAGGAGATGAGCCGCCACTCGATTCTGCACCTGCTGCTGCTGTACGTAGGGCTACCTGTCTTTCTTGATTGTCACGGAGTCTGGCTTCGAGCTCTATCTGCTTGTGGCGGAGCCAGTCAATGGTAAGATTATCAACCGCAAGGGTGTTGGCTAGAAGGCTACTAGAATCCTCGACAAGAGATTCATCAAATGTAAAATTAACTGGGTTGGCTGGGCATGTTCTAGAAAAAACAAAAATCATGACAATTGTAGTGGGTTTACAAAAATTTGATAAACTCATAGCTTTGAAAGGCAGCAAATATGACGTCACTCACTTGTGCTTTTCTGTGAAATCTTTATACTCTTCTGATGGTCTCACTTGTTCTGCGCACCCATTCATTCTGTTTTGAATTTCAACAAACCTTTCATCACTTAGATTAGAATGTTTTGCCAGCTCTTGCAAAACAGAGCGCCTGCAGAGAAAGAACAGTTACACAATGTCATTATTGTGGATTCAAAGAAGGGGAGTGCGCACAAAATTTGTCAGCTATTTATGATCACATATTTGAAATATGTGAAATATGTGAAATATGTGAAATGTGTGAAAATAATAAGTTAAGGATATCCTCCGCAAGTGCTTCGTTCATAACTTATTATTTTCATGGCAAAATTACGATGACTTCGACTTGACGATATCCCAAGGACCCAAACTGCAGCCGATCTGTGCTTCTATGCTCACCACGAGGATATGAACCCCTCCTGCAGGGACTGCTGGCACTCCAGCAGCCCGGGCAGCAGGACCGTGCGGAAGTCCCTCTCGAACTCGCTGGCCTCGCTGAGCAGCAGCACGTACTCGTTGTGCGTGAGGTGCAGCTTGCGGCACGCGTTCTGGTACTTGGCGCTCACGTCCTCCAGCTTGCGGCCTCCGCGCCCCGCTGCAAAATGCAAAATGCCAATGAGGTCCATTTCAAAACAAGCGACAACGATGATGATGCGGCTGCCACGATGAAAAGCATTTTTGGTGACTGTCACTTTTGCTATCGGCCTGCACTAGCGAGGCACTGGCGCTTCGAGGGTGCCTACCCGGCCCCTGAAGAGTTTGTTTTCGAACCGTTCGGAGGTAGGTTTCCGCACTACACAAACCTTGGCCTTGGAGAGACAGAGACGGAGACCTCCCCCCGAACAGCTGGAAACCGAATCATCCGACCAAATAGCCTCTTCAATCAAGTCAAGAAGGGGCAAGGCAGACCGCCATTCTTACTCTGGTGCGTTGCGGGACTGATTGCTGGCCTACCTGTCAGGCGCTACAGGCTGGAAGAGTGGCGAAACCTACCTTTGATGTAGTGCTCCTCGAATCTGCCCCTCGTGATCTTGTACGCCTCCAGGGCCTTGGTGTACTCCGTCTTCTTCCGCGCCACGTCCTCGCTCAACTGCAAACACACAAAACACAAAACCGTCAGCGCGTCAGCACATCGCGGTGAAACCATTTCAGGTTTGCCTTTTTTTGTCGCTCCTTGCTCTTGTTGGTTCTTGTTTATTTTGCCCGAGGACAGCGCTCTGCGCTTTGGGGGCCCCCAGGCCCAGGCCCAGGCCGGCCCAGGCCCAGTTCCTGGAATCCCATGCGAGCGAGATTCGGGACCACCGCAGCGATTGAGGGCTCGCTTCAGACTCGCTCGGCCCCGGCAGCGCCGACTAGCCCCCCACGCCCTAAATGTTTTTGCACGGATTTTGTACGAGACGTTACAGTTCATTTTGTGGATGGAGCAGGAACTCTTGGCGAGTTTGAACCCACTAAACCCGGCTGCTCTCTTTCGTTTCGAGACAACTCTGGCACGTGACCTCAAGTGACCTTGGGAGGGGAGGAGTGACTGTCCTTGTGATGGGCAACTACGCGGGCGTCTTGTCCGACTCGAAAATGCACTTCCGCTGCGACAATGTAAAATGAAACACTGGACGTGGGACTGGGACGCTGCACGCGGAAGACGCGCGGGGCCGGCCGGCCCTGGCCCAGGCCCAGTACGCCAGTGCCAGTACGCCTCGAAGCTCAGAATAAAGTCGGCCGGTTCGAAGAGGCTTCGTCGCGCTGTCTCTGTCGCACTCAGAGGGGCGTCGCGCAGGGGTGCCAGAGCGACGGCGCGACGAGGCACCGTTTCGGAATCGGGCCGCGGGCGGGGCAGGGCTCGGGGCAGGGTCTCATGTCGCCCCCTAGCGCCGCAAGATGAGCCCGCCAAGCCCGCCCAGCCGTGGCCGCGGCGGCCGTCTCTAGTCTCATTCCGAGAGTCCTTTTCTTCGTCGCTCTGTCTCTCTCGCGCTCATAGGGCGTCCTGTATAGGTGCGAGAGGGGCAGAGCGACGAAAAGGACTTTCGGAATCAGTCTGCTGGCTGCCGCGGGTGCCGCGGGCCTAGGGCCTGGCCTGCGCGAAGCACAGGACGTTGAGCTTCCCATGCGGCACGGCCCGTCCCCCCTCGCAGGACTCTGGGGTGCCTCTATGCTGGCCGATGCTGAGGGCTCGGGGCCAGGGGGAAACGACTGAGAAATTTTGTGCACATCGGATAGGAACCCCAGATAGCGGTTCCTCGGATTACCAAAATTTCTGAGGATTACCTTGGATTGCGCCGGTTACCGTATACCGTAGATTGCCGATACCCGATTCCTCAGGATGTCCCGGATACTTCGAAATTCCGGTTACCGGTAGGCGGATACCAATTGCTGTACATCGGATAACGAGTCTTCCCCTCGGCTCGGGGCCCCAGGGATTGGAGTGGCAAGGCCGCCGTGTCAAAAATGCGCAAAAATGGCATAACCCTAGAGAGCAGGCCATCGAGCTTCTCACCAGACTGATTGAGTGGGAGGTCTCTCTCTCGCACTCATGGGCCGTACCGTAAGGGCGCGAGAGAGACAGACCGAGGGCTCCTCGCTAGAAGTCAACCCGCACGCCAAGGCTGCTGAACCCAAGCGCGTCGCGAGGGACTGGCTCCCGAGAGGCACCGGCCGACCAAGATAGGTTTCCTCTTCCAACTTTCCTCCCTTTTCACTTGCGTTTCCGCCGTTCGGAAATGGGCTCACATAAGTCGTACGACCGTAGCTGCCGTAACTCTATTTCAGTCGAGTGGGTGACGAGAGGGCTGAGGAAAACAGGCGCGGATCCAGTAGGGGGCAGGGCGGACGGTGCACAGTGGGCCAGGAGACCGGTGGAGCGGCCAAAATTCGAGACTCGTTTCGAGCTCCAGAGTCGCTAAATGGGACTCGAACCGAACGTGTGACACCACCAATGAGCTCTCCGAACGAGGAATCCATTTGTGGGGTCACACGGTCGGTTCGAGTCCCATTTAGAGACTCTGGAGCTCAAAACGCGTCTCGAATTTGGCCGCTCCACCGGTCTTCTGGCCCACTGTGCGAATCCACTCTTGAAGGCAAGGCCAAAGGCGGGCGGGGAAAGGGGAGAGGGGTCAAAGTAGGTCGACCAAAATCCATAGCAACATCTTCCGATTTTCATTTGCCCCTGCCGCTACAACGCTGAAGGTGCCGCGAGGCTTTCGTTGCGAATGGGATGACGGCGACAGCGACCCCGTACTACGGTGTTGGATCCAGGAGCGGCCTTGGGAGGGGGGAGGAGTAGCAGCACTTTTCGATTACTTACAGGGGCAAAGTATGGATTTTTGCCTACCTTCCAGGTGGCTACAATCAAGGTGCCTTGAGGGGGAGGGGGGGGCTGTACATATCCGCGGCTGGTAAACCACGACGATGCCGCCACCACCACACTGCCTCGATGGCCTCGACGTCGTCGCCGCGACCCTATCCCTATCCCTCTCGCTCTCGCACGCCCTTACGGGCCGCCCCGTGAGTGCGAAGGAGCGAACGAAGCGACCAAAGGAATAAGGACGTTGCCACAGTTCGGAATCAGCCAGTGGAGCGATTCGACCCTCTCTGTCTCGCACTCATGGGCGTTGGCGATAGGTCCGCACAGGTGCAAGAGAGACACAGCCTGCTGCAGACTGATTCCGAGAGTCGTTTTCGTCGCCCTGTCTCTCTCGCACCTACACGGGACGCCCCATCAGTGCGAGAGAGACAGCGACGAAAACGACTCTCGGAATCAGCCTGCTGCTACGCCACTGCCGCTGCAGCGCCACTGCAGCGCCGCGTCTCGGCGTCTCGGCCGCCCCGGCGCTGCTGGCGCTGCTGGTCCAGCCTTGCCGGTCCGCCACGCCGCCACGCCACGCCACGCCACGCCACGCCTCGCCTCGCCACGCCACGCCAGTGCGGCAGCATCAGGCAGCATGCGGCAGTACCGTTGCTCCGCCAGTCTCGCGCAGCGCGCAGCCTCCGGCTCCTCCGGCTCGTCCGGGGCGGAGTGGCGCGGGGCTGATCCCGAACAGTGCTCTCGTCGCTCTGTCTCTCTCGCACTCACACGGGACGCGCCGTGAGTGCGAGAGAGACAGAGCGACGACACGCCGCTCGGAATGAGTCCGCAGGGGGCGAGGCAGAGGCAAGAGGTCCGACGAGTCGCCGCGAGACGGCGCGAGAGTTCCAGAGGAAGAGGCTCGGATTCATACTCGCACTAATGACTCGGCCATCCTTATGCGTCAAGATCTCCTCTGGGGTCAGCTGGGGGTAATTTTGGGACACGGGGCCGAGAAAGGGGACAGCTGTTTTCTGGACGAGATTTGACCCATACCACCGGTTTAGATGGATTTATTTTTTCTCGGCTAGGTCTAAGATTTTAAATTAATTGTTTCCAAAGGTCTGCAAAGACGCCGCTGATGAAGAAGTTTGCCCAGACAGTGTTCTGCACCTGTCCCTGCCCGTCCCTGGGTGACGGACGACGCATCAACAGCGCGTGAAGCGTGAAGTTGCCCGTGAGATTTGGCAAACGCAACGCCCCCTGGTCAACTAACAGGATCTACACTGTAAATCCAAACGTTCAGAGTACCATGCCAATGGCGCGGTGCGTTTTGAACCCTATCGAATGCTCCTATAGCACGGGCCCAATCGAGGGTCTTGGAGGCCTCTGGTCGCCAACAGGCGCTCGCGTGGTCAGAGAGGTCTTTGGTCCCCCCGCCCCTTTTTTGCACGCACAAGCGCCCCCCCCCCCATTCCTCTCCCAATAAATACAAACACCTGGTGTGGACTGGTTCGCTGTTCTCTAGACAACGCACTCTAGCGCCAACAAGTTTACACGCTTGGATAACGCCCGAGACAACAGCAGTTCGCAGTGCGTAAATTTGTCACGTTCTCAGTGCAGGAAATTTGTCCTTGACGCATACGGCCAACCGCGCGCGCGGCTGCACAACAGGCGAGTCTAGGAAACTGTTGAGACACGCCTCTCTCCAGTTCGTCGTTATTTCGAGGGACTATTCGTGTCGTCGTCCAGGCGTCCACGCAGGCCACGCAGCAGGCGCCGATGCCGCCTCGTCGCTCTGTCCCTCTCGCACCAGTGTGGGACGAACGGGACGCCCGATGAGTGCGAGAGAGACAGAGGCGCGACGAAGCGCGGTTCGGAATCGTCGTCCTGCAGGCCAGTCCGGCCAGAGGACACTGGCCTCCTTCGGCCGGTCCGGATGTCCGCCGTGTCCGTCCCGGGGGTCACCGCACGTGGGGGCCGCCACGCCGTGCCGTGCCGTGCCGCGCCGCGCCGTGCCACGCCATGCCGCGCGGCACCGGCCGACCCGACCCACTTCGCGTGTGGCGGAGTCGCGGAGGCCAGGCCGGCGCGAGCGAGCGCGTATGCGCGTATGCACGCGCGTGTGGGAGGGGGAGCGACGGAGACAGCGAGATCCCCGGGGCATGACCTAAACCGGGAAAGCCCCATGCCGCACTATGGCGGCATGGCGGGCTGCGCCTTGGCTGCGCCGTTGCATCCTGGTCGGTCACTGCCTGAGTCATACGCAGGGGCGTCGCACCCGTCGCACGCGGTGCGTGCAGGAGAGTGTTTCCAAACAGTGGCCTCGCCTCGTCGCTCTGTCCTTCTCCCACCCGCCAGGTGCTCCGGAGAGGTGCGAGAGAGACAGGGCGCGCGCCCGCGCGGAGACACTCCCGGACAACAGGGTCGTGCGTGGGGGTCTCCGTGTCGACGGAGTGCCGGCGAGCGCCAGGCCGTTCCGCGAGACACAATGAAAGCGCAGCGGCATTTAATAAACTCGTGAATACGTGAATATTGATTGCGTTGGACTGCATTTACATTAATTGGGACAAATCGTGCTCCGCTTGTCCACCAAGGTCACGCCCACCCGGACGCCGATAGCATCGGGGCTCATTTTGAGGTCACCGAGTCCCTCACGTCCAAGTCCCCGGCGACACCAGCTGGCGGCTTCCAATGTTGGATGACGGAGAGGAGCCTCGCGTAGATTTGTCACATTAGTCGACAGACTTTGATTCCGCAAACAGCCATCACACTGTAAGTGTCGTACAGTGCAAGGCTGCGCCACCATACTGCATGGTGGATATTTTCTCCATGATGTGAACAAAATTCGTCAAAATAGCTATTAGGTAATTCTAAGAACATTTTCACCATGGAGAATCTTCTCTATACAACATTTACAGTGCAGGTCCTTCTTGAGCCTTGAAACCACAGGCCACGGACACGAGCAGCTCTCGGGGTTGCCATCCCAGAGACAGAGCGACGAAAACGACTCTCAGTGTGCTGGTCGATGTTTTCGTTCTTTGGCTTCCGCTGCAGGTTGGGCAACGTTATGAGGGCGCCCCGCCACGCCCCGCCGGCCCGTTGCCGCGCCACTGCAGCCACTGCAGCGACACTGCAGCGCCATGTAGAGCCATGCAGCGCCCTAGGCGTGCCTTGCAAGGTCGCCGCGCTGCATTCCGCCATCCGGCCGCACCGAGTACCTCTCGGAGTACCTGGGGTACCGCGGGCTAGCCGCGGGTACCCAGAGCACCGAGGGAAGAGACAGGCACGCAGTGCAAGTGCAAGGGTTGGCTGCCAGCGCCCAGTCGTAATAGGGCAATGCCGACGCAATCTGGACCGGAACCAAGCAGAAGATACAGCATCTGGATCCACTGTGAGAAATCAGGAGGGCGGAGTGTCGAGTCTTTGAGTATGGTCAGAAGAAAAATACGGGGTAAGAAAAGTACGCCCCCTGCGTTCTACTGCACAGACTTCGACATCCATTTGACGGGGAGTTCTCTCTCAGATTTTCACACAGAGGCGGATCCAGAGGCGGCCTATGGGAGGAGCACACTTTGCCTACTTACAGGGGAAAGGGGGGGGAAAGCATGACGTTGTCCGCCTCTCCCCCTTCCCCTGGTGTGGATCTGCGCTTCCTATGCGCTTGCTGGTCGAGGGATGGCTCAAAGGCAAGATATCAGCTGTTTAAGGGTGCCTTTTTCTTACCCTGTACTATACTTTTCTTCCCCAACTGACCCCTACGTGTGGGAGGGAATTAACCAAAATGACGAAAAGGAATTACTGAAAATTTTAATGTTTGTGGAACCGAACAGCGATTACTGTGATGCCATTCCATTAGCTGTTACTGGTAACGTGCAGCCCGATCAAACCGAGAGCGCCAAGCGACGGCAACCACTGGCCGCCCCGCGAACGTGCCTCCTTGCGCCCTACTCGTCACTCTGCAGACTGATTCCAAGAGTCGCTTTTGTCGCCCTGTCTCTCTCGCACCTTTACCGGACGCCCCATGAGTGAAAGAGAGAGCAAGAGGCAGAGCGACAATAGCGACTCTCGGAGTCAGTCTACTGCCACCGCAGCCGACCTCAGATCGTTTACGAGTAACTGGAAAACCGAGTATCCATCCATCAGGGACGACAGAAGCGGGAGAATCGCAGAGAGCGCTCTTTCGGTTGCCAAAGGAGAACAAGCAGGTCAAGTTGATAACATAATGAAGGTCTGAGGATGGCATTTTCATTCAATTTCATCATTCACTCTCATTCAATCATTCAATAACATCCCTCCGACAGTTTGACTTTATTTTGACATTGTTTTGACTTGATGTTGTAACGTTACGCCTTCCTCCAAGCGTTTGCGCCCTTCTTGAAGCCAACAGAAGTTCAACCACCCTTATACCACCGATCTAAACGCAAGGGGAAGTTTCCTCTGCACGCTCAAAGATAGGGGGACGACCGGTATACGCCCCTCTGGTGATGACCAGTGATGACAACCTCAACCACTCCAGAAAGGTACTTCCGATCTTTCTCGCGCGGCACAGATAATAAGACATTTCCCTCAGGACACGCCGCAGCGCGTCGCAGTCAGACAAGTAAAGCGAGATGAGTCCACGTTCGGCGCGCGGGCTGCACGGGCCGGTGGCAGCCCTGTGGCAGCACTGCAGAGCTGGCGGCCGGTGGCACCGTTAGCCCGCCTCGCCTAACCAAGCCTCGGCACTGCTCGCGACTGCTCGGCACACCGTTTTGCCCCTCCCCTCGATAGACAGACCCCCCCTTCACCTTCACCGCCCCGATCTCTACTTCCACTGATGCCTCAAACCTCCACACACACAAACACACGCGTGCGGAGGTGGCTAGGCCAGTGCCGCGCGCAGCCAAGCTCGCAAAGCCTCAAGGCTCGTCGCGGTTTCGCGCGGTACGTCACAAGGAAGGGCTTGTCACACGAAAGTAACCTAACCTGACCTAGCCGAAGCTTTAGCAAAGTTCGTCACAAAGCTCGTCGCGGTGGCGCGAGCACAAGGAAGGTTGTCACACGAGTGCGACCTAGCCTACCCTAGCCAAGCTGTTGCAAAGCTCGTCACTAAGCTCGTCGCGGTGGCGCGCGGTGCGTCATGAGGACCAGGAAGGGCTTGTCACACGAGTGTGACACGTTAACGACATCACGTCACCTAGGATGCCTAGGACCTAGGGCGTCTTCAACCTCTCCGCAGTTGTCTCGCGGAGGAGGGAAAGTGCCAAAATGACTCCAACTTGAAACAAAGTCGTCCTTAAATGGTTGGGGGTCACTCGAAGAGGGCGACTCGTGCACGGGATCTAGGCGATTGGGCACTACGATAAATCAGCTTGCGGGTCATGGCCATGATGTCAGCAGAGACACAACAACAGACGCATAAGGGCAGGCCCGACCGGAAGGGCGGAGGATGGTCTATGGTCCAACCAAAGCCCGAAGACTATGAGTATTATTTTCGCTACAATAACGGCTTTGGCCTCATGGCTGTCGCGAGAGGCCAGGCGGCAGGGCTTCTGAGAGCATAGCACGCGAAGTAGGCTGCGTCGCGTCAGTCGCTTCCATGCACACATTCCAGGAATCGTCATTCCATTCCACACTGGATCCCCAATGGCGACACCGGGACCACAGCGAGCGAGGCCAGCCCGACGGCCAGCCCAACGGCCAGCCGAACGAGTTCCGTGACCCAAAGGCCCAAAGACGGGCCAGCTGGGTCGTCGCGGCCCGCGCCCGCGACCACGGCCTGGTCCACGGCCTGGCCCACGGTCACCGTCAGGGTCAGCGTAGGGGAACCGAAGCCAAGGCCTTGCAGGGGGCCGGAGACGCGGACGGGGATAGGTCGACTCGACTTGCATTCCCAAGTCGGATGCGCCAAGAAATCAAGCCCTGTGACGTCACACTCAAGCAGACGTGACAAGTGCAGGAAAGTGACACGCGTCACTCGAATTGTGACGTCACAGAGTACGTTAGTTTGCCACACTTTTGAAGTAGGAGGGTGGCGGCAACGCCAAGAGATGTCTCCTAGGGTTCCCTCGTCCGTTTTACTCACATGGGTGAACTGCTGAGCGATTCTGCTGTGCTCTTCCTGGTAGTTCTTGCGGGCCTTGCGCTTCTCCGTGTACAGGGTGTTGAGCTTCTCCAGGGTTTCCTTCTCCAAGCTCTCAGCGTTCTGGCGAACCGCTCTACCCGTGTTGTCCAGTTCCTCCATAATGCCCCGCCATGCCTGGAAGCAAACCGAACGGATGTTTGGAAGCCGTCGGAAAACCGTTGGGAAACCGGTGGGAATCCGTTGGGAAACCATCAGAAAAACGCTTAGAAATTCACAGTAAAAGTGCCTCTGTCGACTTGAAATTCAAGGGGACGCCTTGGTTTCATTTCAGTGGGGTTTGGCGAATTTTTTTAAATTGACCACTTTCTTTGCAGAAATGGATTTGTCTCGTCAAGACAAACAAAGAATGTCAACACATGTCATAGATTCGGATGCTAGAAAAGACATGGTGCTTGCTGACTCGAACCGCTAAAGGTCTGCATAGACCTAGCAGCGCTGATGATGATGATGATGAAGTGGTGTACCCACCTTGGCCACCAGGCTGCCGGCCAGGTCCTCGGGCCGCTCCACCTTGAGGCCCTGCTGCACCAGCGCGCCGAGGGCGAGGGCGTAGTCGCGGTCGGAGCGCACCTTGCTGTGGATGCAGCGCCGCATCAGGTCGAGCAGGCGCAGCTCGGCGTCCTGGCGCAGCAGCAGCGCCTCGTGGGCCGCCTTGCCCTGCAGCGCCGCCGAGAACCCCATCGCCTGCACGGACAGACAACACGGGTAAAGTCTACACACTGATTGGGCGAGGTGGGGCACCCTTCAGGTAAAACTAAGCCGTAACGTTACACCTTTCTCCAAGGGTTACGCCTTTCTTTGGAGCATAACCTGTTGACCACCCTATCCCTCCTCCTATCTAAAATTTCCTCTGTAAGCTTGTTCCTCTTTACGGTCCTCAGGCCGGCCCAGGATCCACCATTGGTTGAGGAACTCAACCAATCGTAGCAACAAAGTCTCGGAAGCAGGCGCCTAAACAGGCCTGCGAAGCGCCTGCGAGGTAGGCCGGCGACTGGCCCCGCAACACATCGGTGTGGAGACGGTGGCCTACGTCACTTACCATTACCATTAAGGGCTAGACCACACATGATCGTATGCCATTTCGGGCCCGACACATGTTCGCCTGCACTGCAAAACGAGACAAGGTCGTCCTTCCTGTCGTCTTCACAGGGGCAAGGTAGGCCACCGTCAGCACACCGATGTGTTGCGGGACCAGTCGCCGGCCTACCTCGCAGGCGCTTCAGGGCAGGTGGCCCTAAATCAGGCATTTGACACTGGAAAATATCGCTTTTTTTGCGTTTTCGTCGTCGCCATTAACAGGGCCATGAGAAAACCGTCAAGCATGCTCCTGGGTAGAGCCTGCTTGCAAGCACACTCCACGGTGGAGCGTGCTTTGTGGTTGACTTCCTGGGGGAGCATGCCAGGCACTCTCTTCAGTTTCTGGAGTGGAGAGTGCTTGGACAAGCACACTCCAGGCAGAGTGACACACTCCAGGGACAGTGTAACACTCCAGGCAGAGTGACACACTCCAGGGACAGTGTAACACTCCAGGCAGAGTGAAACACTGCAGGGAGTGTAACACCCCAGGAGAGTGTAACACTCCAGGCAGAGTGAAACACTGCAGGGAGTGTAACACCCCAGGGAGAGTGTAACACTCCAGGCAGAGTGACAGGGTGGAAAACTCCAGGGGGAGAGAAATACTCCAAAGTGAAACACTCCAGGAAGAGTGTGCAGCACAGTGTGCTGACTACATACTTTTAGAACAAGAATCACCTTTCTAAGTGCTTCTAACAAAGCACACTTTGGATCTTGTAGTATATACATGCAAAGTGATCAGGAAGGGAAGCACGTTTTGCCAGGAAAATCCTGGGTTTCAGGGTCGGTACCAAATCATTCAAACAAATTATGCCACCTCCAGAATCACAATCCAACAATGACACATGCCTCATGAGTCTAAACGCACGAACAACGTCAACCTGCTACGTAAGTACACACTTCTAGTGCGACCTGTTTGTACATTGAGCACATTATGGGAACAAGAAGAGAGGAAGGGGGGGGGGCCTTGATCTAAGCATTGTTGTTGATGAGTGCCATCTGTGAAACCCCTTATCACGGGCACTCGAGTGTGTGTGTGTGTGCGCGCGCGCGCGTGTGTAAACACGTGTGCACAGTCATTTTCGTCGATCTCTGTCTCCCTCGCACTCACAGTCATCCTGTACAGGTGCGAGGGAGGCAAACGACTCTCGGAACCAGTCCGCAGAGCAGACGCAGTGATCCACTTTGCTGGGAGTGTCTCGCCCACGCGCACGCTGTGCCGTACTTTGTGCGCGAGGTAAGCTCCGCGACTTGCTCGGAGTACGTACAGCGTACAGCGACTCGGCCGGATTCTTTTGGCACTGATAAGAAGACTGCGTGCGGCGTGCCTGCACCATTGCACACTGTGGGGCCTCGGGGGGCTTGGTACTCGTCGACGGGCTGCTCGCGGTCTCGCGGTCGCGGACCCCGCCGCCCTGCGGACTGACTCCGAGAGTCTATCGCTCTGTCTCTCTCGCACTCATGGGGCGTCCCGTCCAGGTGCGAGAGAGCCAGAGCGACGAAAACGACTCTCGGAATCGGTGTGCTGGACTCCGCCATTCCGACGGCAGTGCGCGGCAGCGCTGACTAATCACGCGATAAGGGCGCACCCTCTCGCCCCGCGGCCTGAAGGGTGTCGTGGTGTACGGTGTCACGCGGCGCGGCTGGCGGGGCTGGCGACCAGAGGCGGAGGGACAGCAACAGAGACAGCAGGGCAGGCCGGCCAGAGTGTGGCTTGTGCTCGCTCGGCCCCGGCGCTCGGCCCGGCCCCGCCGCGGTGCCGCAGCCACAGCACACCACAAGCACAAGGCGGCCAAAGGCAGGCCGAAGGCGGCACAGGGCACAACGGAACGGCCGGCCGCACCGCTCACCTCGCTCGCTTGACTCGCTCGTCGACGCGGCTAGCGCAGCTTGCGCAGCTTGCGCAGCCGGCTCGCTGGACGAAGGGCTGCGTGCACTGCACTGTGCACTGCACTCGCAGGCTGGCTGCTACGGCCTGCACTCCATGGCCGCGGCGGCCTCCATCGCTCGAGTAATCCAAGGGAGGTGGCGCGCTGGGCGCTGGGCCAGCACACTAGCAAACTAGCAGACGACTCTCACTCGCGGTCCGCGGCGACGCCTGGACGCCACACGACACGGGACGCGCTGCCTCGACTCGTACAGTGCACACGCCGACGCACTGACGCCGACTGACGGACGCGAGCGAGACGAGAAAACCAGAGGGCCCCACCACGGCCACCCCCTCTGCCCCCCGCGGGGCCCCTTCCCCTGCCGCCGGCCCCCCCGGCTCTGCCCCGGCCGAGTCGAGCCGCGCTGCCAGCCAGCCGAGCTCGGCCCCGCCGGAGAGCCAAGCCGAGGCGGGCCGCGCCGGACCGCGCCGAGCCGGAGCCCGCTCGGCCAACGTCGTAAAGGGTCCAGGTGGCCCTGGTGGCCCTGGCTCTGTGGCTCTCGGTGGCCTGACGAGGTGAGTCAACCTGAGGAAAGTCCAGCCGAGGCGGGCCGACAGCGGCCGAGCCGAGCCGAGCCCTGTACCTGTATAGCCGATGCCGACTGGCCCCGGCCGCGCTGCTGCCGCGCCCTCCCCGCCCCAGGCCAGCCCCCCCCCCCCCCCCCCCCGACGTACCGCACTTCTCCGAAACCTGTCACCGCCACTCGGACCTCCCCTCCCCCCCCCCCCCCCCGGATCTCCGCTGCAACATAGGTGCGCCTCCCTCAAAGGTGAAATGGAATTAAATAATTCGCGGCGAAAAGAAAGAAAACGGATGAATCGTCGGAAAACGACCGCCGCCGTGAGGAGGACACACTGTGTGCCTGTCCTTGCTCAGGTGCTCAGGTAAACGACCCGTGTTCTGCTTTTCGGCAGAATCGGGGATGTCAGGGGTGGCCTGGTGGCCTATGGTGGCCTCAGAAGCAGAAACGTTCCGAGCGTCTCCAGTGCCAGCGCACCTGTAGAAGGCCGACAGTGTGAAATTGTGGCAAAAGCGGATCGGACCGGGATCGGACAAACAAATAAAAACACCACCAGCAGGATAGCGATACAGGTGTAAATACGAAAAGTACGCCACAGTCGAGGCCAATGGATCTAACAAACTGACACCGCGAGTCAGCGGCAGTACCGTGGGTGATGTTCGGGTGTTGTTCCGCCACTTGGAGCCAGGAGGCGTTGTATCTCTCTGGCTGGCGTCCCCCTCCCGCTCTTTGCCTCCCCTCTCTCCCTCTCCCTTCCCCCTCTACCCTTTCCCTCGCCCTTTCCCCGTTCCCTCCCTTTGGGCCGTGTGCATGCATGGTGCTTGTAAACAATGGTCTCTGTGGTGCACCTGCAGCAGCACCAAAACGACTCGGATTCAAAAGGCCGTCACCGGGCGGTCCTGGGGGAGGGGGAGGGGAGGGGCGCTCCCCCTTGGCTCAGACCGGACCACGGGAAGTGTCCAGACGCGAAGAGCGAGGAACATTTTCGGGAACATTATGCGCGCCCAAAATGGTGGGTGGGGATGGTCGGGGGGACGACAAACTTGGGTGAAAAGGGAGGGGAGACAGCCGGAGTCGAGTCGTCGTCTCGACGCTCTGTCTCTGTCGCACACCTCAGGCTCTTCGTAACGGTGCAAGAGAGACAGAGAGACAAACTGTTCTTCTGGGTTCTGGATCGCCGCACGCGGTGGCCCGCCGGACGTCTACACTACCTGCCTGCAGAAGAAGAGCACTGCAGAGTGTGACCATGGGACGGCGAAAGCAGCAATCGCGCGCCTCATTGGGCCTTCCCTTGGCCCTTGCAGTGGCGGATGCAGAGAGGCGGCCTTTTATGGAGCGGGGGGTCGCTATCTAGGTGCTATTGTTGGGCCAGCATCAATTTTGCAGTGCAGCAGCACGCAACGAGTCCGTCCTCTCCGCATGGAGTAGCAGTACGTACGCCACAACTGTTTCAGTTGTGTACTACTGGTAGTAGTGCCTGCAGAATGTTGGGGATTTCCGCCGCGGGTAGGCCAGAGTCCAGCTCCTTTGTCTAGAAGTCCAACACGCCAAGAAGCCAGCCATGAATGGCACGCCCTTCATCATATACGCTTGGCCCTTTCCGCAAAGCCCCCCCCCCCCCCCACACACACACACAAACACACATTAGCTCAGATGGAGTTGCCTGTCACACCGCGCAGCTTTGCTGTTGCAAAAATTGTGGCTCTCGGGTGCCGGGTTGAGCAATTTTGGTAATACAATCGTGTGTGTACAGCCCTGGCTCGGTGCGGGCGCGCTGGGCGCGCGCGGCGGCGGTGTGGTAAAAGTGGTCCGAAGCTGAAGCCGGGCACCTGGCGAACGATTCAGCAAAGCTGTTCGTCTCTCTGTCTCTCTCGCGCCCGTATGGAGTGCCCCGTGAGTGCGACAGAGACAGAGCGGCGAAACGACTCCTCTGAATCGCTCGGCTGGCGAGGCTGGCGAAACGACTCCTCTGAATCGCTCGGCTGGCGAGGCTGGCGGTCCTGGCACTGTTCCTGCCGCGGCCACGCGCACGCTCAAGTTGCTGAAGTGTGCGATGGGTTGCTGGCTCTCGACCCAGCAGACTGATTCCGAGAGTCTTTTTCGCCGCTCTGTCTCTCTCGCACTCGGGCGGGGCGCGAGGGTGCAAGAGACAGAGAGCGACAAAGGCTACTCGGCTACTCTCTGAATCAGTCGGCAGAACCCTCACTCTCGCAGGACGCGGAAGAGAGGCGCAGGCGCAGGCGGGAGCAGAAAGACAATCAATCCCTATCCGTGACCCGCTTTGACCCTTAAATAGACGCCTGATAGGTAGGCCAAAAGCCCCTGTAAGTGGTGGGCTAAAAGTGCGACTTTGCCCCCTCCCTATCCTCAGCCCGGATCCGCCACTGATTTTGGGGCGTGGGCAACAATGGGGCCGAAAGAATACGACGGGAGGGAAGCCCCAGCCACTCCAAGCCTGCCTACAGCCCTGCAGTACATACAGGGTAAGAGTGTAACGTCAAAATACAATCCAAACTGCATGAACTAATGGTTCCATCAAGTTGGAGCCAAATTTTGGGAATGCCCCAACGCCGATCGACGGCCAAGTTCCGAGAAGGGTATGGAGCAGACTGCAGGGTCGGTGTTCAACCATCCCCTAGGAACTTTTCAATTTGTCATGGTGGCGGCCCAAGGAAGCGGGCCAAAAAGAAATGCAGCTTCCGCCGAGGGAATGACAAAGGAGAAGGTGGGGTAAAAGCAAACAAACGAACGCGGCAAGGGCGGAAGATTGGGACGATTTGTTTGGATTCTACGAGTTTGCCGAGAGAATTGATTGAATTTCATTCCTCCGTGGAATAAAACCAGGAAAGTGGTAAGTATTGGGATCATTACCTATGTCTTTGAGTTTTAAAAAACTCATTTTCTAGGGAGTAGATTTTTTCTAATAAAGATTTCAAATTTATCTTCATTGCTTTGGAAACGGATTAGCTTGGGTTTCCAAACAAAGATTTTTGGTCATGCTCTGCTTATGTGGCTTCTTAAGAATATTTAGTATATCTTTGCCATCTTTGCTAATATTTTTTTTTTGAAAGGTCTACACATTTGAACTTTAGGGAAATAAATGTGATGATATGGGTATGAGCCCCTTGGCAGAGGCATAGAGAGAAATTAATGAAGGTGGGGAAGGGAAGGGCCATCATGATTTGCCCCTTCATTTGGGCTGATTGAATTGCAAGTTGCTCAGCGCATTGGTTAAAGAGTCGAAGAGAAAAAGCCATGTTTTCCGAACAAATAGAACATAAAAGAATAGAAAATAGCTTCAGTATGGTTCTTTGCAACAAAATAAAATTTTCCTTTTCGTCATAGAACTTGCAGTTTTTATTCTTTATACTCTATAATTTGAAACGTAGTTGATGAAATGGCCAGGCTGGCCACAATTAAATTGAACCTGCTCTCATGACCTCTGTTTTTTCCAGGTCAATATGCTTTTGTCTACTGCTATTCGTCCTCTTAAGAGTAAACATGTCGCAGTAAGTACTTTCCAGTTAATTCTTTGCACAATAATTCAGTATTCGTATTCCACAAAAATATTTGCATTGTCCAACTTTCAGAGCATGGGATATGCTGTTGGGTTCCAAGCGGCCTGGAGAAATTTCAACAGTTTCCTTGTTCGCTCATCGAGCTCAGCGATGAGCCAGTTGGACCAATGGAAACAAAGTCCGACCCCACTCTCTTGTCTCTCTTCTTCCAAAGCTTCAATGGTATGCCAGCGTAAGTATTAAGTAGATTGTAAAACATAATTTTTATTCATTCATTATTTTTCAAAATTTAGGTGGGTGGAATTAGAGGAATTCACACTTCTCCTTGGAGAGCTGACATTGACAATGCTGGTAGATTGATGGGGGCAGGCATGGCCACAATTGGTTTGGCTGGGCCAGGCAAGGACAATTGTCATCTTGGGTTCCTTTTTGTTCCATTGGAGGCCGTTTTTGATTTTCTTTACTTTCTTTTGGCAGGTGCTGGCATTGGTATTGTTTTTGGAAGCCTAATGTTTTCTTACTCGCGCAACCCTACTCTAAAAAATAGTCTCTTTACATATGCCATTTTGGGGTTTGCACTTACAGAGGCCATGGGGTTGTTCTGTATTTTAATGGCATTTGTTATTTTGTTTGGAACAGATTAAACTTGTTGTGGTAGTCACTGACTACTAGTCAGCTCAACTCAAACATGTATTTAGTTGCAGAAAATCTAATCTTTAGTACTTTTTAATCGATAAAACTAAACCAGGGAGCTCATCTGTTTCCAAAATCATGTTACTTTATGGCAAACTTACTAACTAAAACCAAGACTGAACATGTATAATTCATAAGGCAGCAAAAAACGGGTCAAGAATGTGAAATGTGGTTGTGAATTTGCCTGAAAATGTTGAAATATAGTTTATTCTAATTTACTTGTTGTCCTTTCTACTGCAGTTCCTACAATCTCTTATAGTGTAGGTGTAACGGCTTTTGAGTAGTGGAAGTGAGGTTTCATATCAAAGGAGTTATAGACTGATTTTAAATGGTTCATACTATTCACAACATCTGTATTCAAGAAATTCAAGAAACAAACAGTTACAGCAACATAGCTCCCAGCAGAAGTGTCTTATTACATACTGATTACCTAAACTGCAATAGGTCCAACAACCAGTAGGCAGGCACAGAAGTGAGAATGCAAACAAACTTGTGTTCTTAGCTGCAAGCCTGGAGAATGAAACATAATTTCATTTTTCCAGAATCTAACAAGACCAAAAACATGACCCTGTGTACAAGCCACTCAACCACTCACACAACATAAACACAAGTGGGGAAAGGCTATTACTGTAAAGACAAAGCCAGGGATTGTTCCTTTCTAAAAATCTCAATTCATAGCCAAATTAAGACACAAAACGAAAAAGGTCTGAAAAGAATAATAAAATCATAGGTTCATAAGGATATTTTTATTAGTTACCTTACATACAATGTTTTAGAGCAATAATCATAGACGTTTAAAATCAAGGACTACTGTTGTGAGGAGAGAAATACATGAAATGTGAATGAGTAAAATATAAATGAATTAATAAATGATGATGATCAATTCTAAACAACTAGCTTCTTTTTTTCACAAAATTTACAAAAGAAACTTGACCAGGAGTCAAAATTCTAGTCTTGCCACAAACTTAACAAAAAGAAAAAAATGAGGAAAAAGAAACAACAGATCCGTAGATAGATGACTTTACCAAACTTTGCAAGAAAGAACTTAACTCCTGGCTATGGATTTAACAAAACCAGCAGTACTTTACAAATAGTAAGCAATTCAATCTGGAAAATTAAACATTAAAACAAAGCCTCATAATGAATTCCTGCCATCCTTGTGGTGAGTCCTCTGGTACATAAAATCATGAGGCCACTTTTAAACTGTGAAAATGGTGCCAAGTTGCATAACCAGACAATAAAACGGCAGTGGTTCTCCCTTAATTTCTACATGTTTGTTCAGTCAGATAACTCGCACCACAGTTCTGATATACTCAGACAAATTGACAATCATTTTCCCATCTGGACACACAATTGTGAAAAATACACCAAAGAGTGGACCAGTTTCATTCAATTCACATAAATGAAACTTGTAGGACTTAAAAATTAGCTCTGAATGGCTCCATCTGCATAAATTTTCTTATATCAATTACGTCAGTCATCTCATCCTATGGAATGCACCACCACACATTAAAATGATGCATCCAAGTTCAGTATTAATTTTAATGCCTTTGTGCTGGCAAAATTTAGTCTCGTGTAATAACAAAAGTGTAATGAGAACTGATGCATTTTGTTTTTGGAACATTTAATTATTCAGCTGTGAATGACTATCACGAATGGTACACAGACTAAAACACCAACAAAGATAGGCAGAACATAATGGACCACTGCTATTCTGGCACAGTGAGAAAGCCAGAGAACCAAGGCATTCGCAATTGTTAACAAACAAAAAAGAAGACAACAAAAAACAAGGCATCATTTTTTCCCTTTTAATCCAGAAAAATAGCTATATTTCTCCAGAATTTTTTTTTCTTTTAGAATAATGGAGTTTCTGACAGATGGGTCAAGATGATGGAGACCACCTAAATTCCCAGGATACAATTTATTGTCAGATATATATTTATCAATAAGGAAACAATGACTTTGCTGTTATGCTGGTTCTCTGATAATGCTTACCCACTAAAGAAAAATTCTATATATATTAATGAATCACAATATTTGAACCACAGTCACTTCATGGACGGCCGAGCCACACCTGAAGCTCTCAGTTCTAATGAACCTTCCAAAGTTATGGGTTGTACAGCAATGAAGAAAACAAACTCGTTTCAGCAGACATATCCCTCCACTGAAGAAACAGCTTCAACTGAAAGAGCATGAACGAGTAGATAAAACAAACATATTTAAACAGAATTGAGCAAAACAAGCAGCGAGTCTCCACTCCACCATGAAACCCTGCTCTACTAGACTGCATGTAGGCAACCCATTACTTTGGCAAGTGACTGAGTAATTACAACAGACTTAGCGGCCATGCTCAGGTGACTCGGCTGCGCATATCACATCACACCTAGATTTACAGAAGAGGGGCAGGGTAGGCAGAAACCAAACCAAACACACTAATGGCTAGACTATGCTTTTCAGTAGACTGGTTGCTAGTTGGTTGAACACCCACACAAGCACTTATCAGAACAGATTATCTAGCTGTACTAAATGGTATAAGTACATTAAGCACGATATTGTCCTATACTTTCCAAGGATGCATTTATCTCTAAACACGGGCTTGATAGAAATAGGGGTATAGATAAATAAGTGCTAAACAGTTTTAACCGTCAAAGAAATGAAATAACACAATGAGTCTAGATTGAGTTGTTTGGCAGTAATATTCCTCCTACACTCCTATTTTTAAGATAAGATTTAGCTATCATCCTTGGAGAGGAATCACAAATTTTCTAGTCCAGTAAAGTGCTTAATGCTTAATAGAGATCCTAGTCGACTACTCCATAGCACAGGCAAACTGTACAACATTCTTAGGCAATAGCTGTTACTGTTAATAAGCTTTCTGACTTGGATAAATTGTGTAACAGCTAAAAATTATCAAGACTACAGCATCAATAATCACAAGGGAATTTAGAGAAGACACACGACTGTTAGAGAAAACTAGATCACTGTCTTCATGTCAAACAAGGGAATATATGTTCTGTTACCGTAAGTGCTTGCATCTCAATTTCTAGCGTGAAAGATTTTTCCAATCGTCTAGCCCACTCATTGCAGTGGGAAAGGTAGCCTTCTACAAAACTCTCAAAGAAGCCAAAACTTAAATCCTTTGAAGAAAAAAAAAGTCTTGAGCTTCAAAACTCTCAGGCAAAACAAAGTACAAGAAACACTTGACAGGAGCACTTGCATGATCAAACAAAAACCATGACATTGTGCACACACCACACTATCCACTGGTTGCAGCAGTGCAGTCTCACATCCATTAAAATAAAGTCTATCATACTCACTCACTCAAGCGCGCAGACACACACACACACACATTCTCTCATACATGGTACAGAACAAACACACACACCTCTCATAGAACATTTACATGTACACAAGTTGTCATGTGCTCTCACATAGGCACACATATTGGACAAAATTTACAATATACTTTTTTTAATATATACTTTCTCTTAATCAAGCATTTTCCATGAGGCAAAGGTAAATAAAAACTAATAGACAAAGTAAAATTAATACACCTTTTAAAATATTTTCAAACTATCAATCCTCATTTGTCATTATCCGGTCTTAGCTTGAGTAAGGTTGTGATAGTTAACTGTGTATTAAACTCCATCCACTCACAACTGGACCATGAAACACGCTCTCTTGCCCATACCTCACACCTCTTTTATAACATGAGAAAAAAAAAATGAAAGAAAAGAACAAAACCACATCTTGCAAAACTCCTTAATGGCTGATACGTTAGTTGGAATACAAGAGAGTGGATGAAATCTGACACAAAACCAAAACAAGCATCAAATCAAATGAGTAAGGAGTGGTCACAACAGTTAAGCACTGAAGTACAATAGACTCAGGTTAGTCACCTTTCCTCTCATGGCGCACAAGTACACCAATTACGCACTTGGCAGACTAGCCAAGCAACTCATTATGTACACCTGTTCTTCAAGTTCAAGCACCTATGCTACTCAAAACGAGTTTTTCACCTTTTTTTCTATAAAAAGCAACACACAACTTTAATTTCACTGTATCAAAAAACACCATTCATAATTTTTACCATTTTTATTCGAACATTCATTTTTATCACAAACACCTATTCAAGGCCGAGCCTGGACAATAGTTTTTTGGGTTGTTTGGTCCAGGATTTCGGTTTGAGGGGGTGGGGTTGGGCATTGCTGGTTTGGGAGGTAGAAATCCAAATTTGCTTCCTGTTGAAGTACTAAAGATGAAATATCACCATGGCACTAATTTGAGGTCAGCATGTGCATAGTGGAGAGTCGTGCTGCGGTGCAGAGTGGTGTGTCATGCCATGACATCGCTGTAGTCTCAAGCTGCCCGAAATTTAATGTCTCAGGATGCCGCAACATTGTCTTATATCTTCTTAATTTTCTCGCCAACAACAACAGGATTGTTGCGACGGATTTCCTGTGCCCCGAGCTCCCGGTAGTCAAAGGTACATTCATGCTTGTCACTGTATCGGTGCATTGCGCAGTACAACCCGCCACACCGACATTCAAAACCTGACAACAAAATGAGAACCAAAGAATTAGGAAGACTCAGTACATAGAAAACAAATGGAAAAGGTTTCAAACATGAAAATCGTATCACACATAATTTACTATCTACTTAAATTGTACACATACCTGTGAGCCCAACCTTCTTACGGCACGTCGCACAGCGGTTCTTCTTCCGTTTCCCATCTTTATCTTGTGAATCTTTTCCATCAAAACTGGCATCATCACCATCTGTATTTGTTGCACACTCTGCGTTGCCATTGCTACCTGAACCTTCACCATTTTCAGAGCTCTGTGAACAAGAGAAACAAAATGGTGGTCAATAAAGCTCTAGTGTAAACAAAAGGCCCAGCCCCTCAGCAGTCAACAAGTCTCACTGAGTTTGGAAGTGCAGCCCCACTGCCACTAGAGGTCATTATCACTAAAAATTTGTAACAATTTTGATTCAAACCCCACCCCCTCAATCATCATCCTTGAAAACCAGGAGAGGTGCCTGAGCACTTCTCCCTTGACAACACAGCACCCCAACAATGAAACAGAACTGGCAATAATGCACTTTGAAGTCAGATTCTAAAATGCCTTAAATACCACAATAACTAATATCTACATGCTTTGGGAGGACATATTTACCTCTTTACTGCAGAGGTCTGAAATTACAGGGATAGTAGGTAATGCTGTATCAACGGCTGAGGCTACTGTTGATGCAGACACAAATGGTGCGTTGTTGCTGCTTGATGCTGTTGAGGCAGCTGGTGACGAGACAGGAGGTTGCTGTAAACAGAGAAAATTCGGATTCAGACTTAAAGTGACAAGAGACTGGACAAAACTGCAAATGGATATTTGATTTTTTTTTCAGATTAAAATCACAACACTATTCCAAAACTAACCTGTTTTTTCTTTAGTGCCTCTTTATAACAGAGCGAGCACAGTCCGTCAGTTGCTGGGGAACCATAAAAGCCACACCCAGATCGACACTGCGTTTGCATCTGATTCGATTCCCTCTCCATCGCTGCTGATGTAGAAAACTTGTGCGGACGGAGTGGAATTGAACTGTAGGGGTGCCCTTGGTGTGTATAAGATCAGTCTTGTTTGCGCGTAGGAAAATCAGCTACACTGCAACAAAAGAAAACAAAAGGTTAGTTATTGCCGCCTTAAGACCATGCCCCCGAACGCTTGCGCTACAACTATTAAGAGAACTGACGACTCCATAGAAAGGAAGAATCTAGAGCAGTTCAAACTTTCAAGAAATCAGATCAGAGGAACGCAAAGGCCCCAGAATTCAGAATAGAACTGCTAGATGCATCAAAGCAACAAAACGGCATCACCTCAGCATGGGTGTAACTTTACATATTAACATCTATTCAACGTTTCGAGCCGCTAGCCATGAGTCTTTATGATAGTTTATTCTGGTCCACCCGCCTGCAGGACTTGAGCGCTGAGGTCCCGGCGACTCAGATTGCCCAGTGTCCCCCCAGCGGCGTCGTGACGTCACCGGCCGCGTGACGTCACACTGTCTGGAGCGAAGGTGACGTCACGCCACGTCAGACCGACGGCGGAGGCAGAGGGGCCGCCCCGCCCCGCCCCGCCGCGCCACTGCAAGGCCCTACAATGCCCCGCCCCGCCCACGACGCGTCACGCCACGGCCATGCGTCACGGCACCGGGGAAGGGAAAGCCACGGCTACGGCTGAACCGGGCCGCGCGGCCGGCCGAGCGATTCAAAGGGTCGCCTGATCGCTCGCTCTCTCTCTCTCTCTCGCACCCCCGCAGACTACACAGGACGCCGCGTGACAGAAAGAGACGAACCGATCCCGCGGATTCGCTCGAATGGCGACATAGACTGATTCCCAGCGGGACGGGACAGGACTCTGTCGACCCAGCGCCACTTCCGGCAGGACGGCCTCGCCGTGTCTCCCTCGCACCCACACTGCGAAACGCCCTCGCTTCTCCGTTTCTCTCTCCCTCTATCTCGTACCGCTCGAGGTGTCGTGCCTGAGGGACCATCGCGCGTTATCACCATCGCAGTCTGCTGTCACACAGACGGCACGGGCAGAGCGTGCGAGAGAGACGGACGGCCAGGTGTAGTCGGGCCCGCAGTGCAGTGCAACGCGCAGCGCCGGCAGCCTGCACGCGCGGAAGGCGCCGAAGGCGGCACTTCGCAAACAGCCTTGCCAGCCACGTGTGCGAAGTGCCTCGCAGTGCTGCGCAGTGCCGTGCCACGCCAGCCACGCCGTGCCGCGAACACTCTTGCAAGTCGCGTCGAGTGGCGCTCCCTGGCGTGTGCACTGCAAACTGCAGCACACTGCAAAGAACCGACCGGCCCAGCCGTGCATGTGCTTGGCTCTCCCCTCGGCCCTCGCCACCACGGCGGGCGTACTTACACGCCGCAGCAGACGGAGCCGTTCTCGTCGCTGTCTCTCTCGCACTCATGGGGCGTCCGGGAAGGGGCCGGAGAGAGAGAGAGAGAGAGAGAGAGAGAGAGAGAGAGAGAGAGAGAGAGAGGGAGCGTTCAGACCGACCGTACCGACCGCAGCGCGGTGCCATGCCAAGTCCCGCGCGACGGGACGGGACGGACTTGATCCGCCGCGCCCAAAGGTCGAACCCCGAACCCCCACACTGCCACGGCCCCGACCAGCCACGCCGGCGCCGGCCATCAGACTCGGACAACTCGAGGAAGCTTCGCAGGTGCAGTGCGAAAGGGCGATCAGAAAGCGAGCAAACTCGTTCGCTGGACGCCACCCACGCGGCGATCCCCGATCCTCCGTCTCTCTCGCACCCATCCGGCCTGCCGCCTGGCTGCCGCCTGCCAGGGCGACAGTGTGGGGGGCAGTGGCGCACAGGTGCAGTCTTCCAGCGAATGCCCCACCGGACCAGCAGACTCATTCCGAGAGTCGTCTTCGTCGCTCTGTCTCTCTCGCACTCACGGGGCGCCCCGTGTAGGTGCGAGAGAGACAGAGCGACGAGACGACTCTCCGGAATGGCTCGGCAGGCAGCTGTCGCGCCGCACAGCGCACAGCGCACAGCTGCAGCGCCGCGACGCGCCTCTGCGGCGAAACAAAGACGACCTTGTTGGGATTCAAGTGCAAGGGAGACGCGACGCAAAGCGCGCAACGCCGAAGCCTTCGGCTGGCCGCCGTCCAGCACGTGCAGGCACAGTGCAGGCGCGCGCACACCGCAAGCCACCACACTGCAAGCCGCACGCCGGCCAGACGGACCCACAGATAGAGGTTCAAGGTACAAGGTTCAAGCCTCGGCAAGACCGCCCCCCACCTCCACACAACCACACGCACACACGTCGGGGACGCCACCGCCAAGCCGTAGCCGCACTGCCACTGCACAGCGAATACGGACGGACTTTTTGGCGCACGCACCGAGGAAGCACCGAATGATGCGCAGTTCCGCGAATTGCGCACTTGTGTCCCCGACAGACGGCAGGCAGGCCAAGGCAGGCAGTGCACTGGCAGTGCAGGCAGGAGAACGACAGCGCGGCCCAGCTCGCAGCCAAGTGCAAAGCCGCCGCCATCGCACTTGGAAAAGTTGGCGGGGACGCGAGGCGCAACTCGAACGACTGGCACACTTGCTGTCCCCTGCAGTGGAGTGCAGACTGATTCCGCTCGCACTGCTTGCTCTCTCGCACCTAGACGGGGCGCCCCACGAGTGCGAGAGAGACAGAGCGACGCGATCAGTGCTCGGAATCAGCCTGCTGCCCGAGCTCTCACGCGTTCAGAAGAAGCGCCCGTGACTCCAGCCGGGCGTCGAACCCGCGTCGGTCGGCATACGTAACCAGCAGACTGATTCCGAAAGTCGTTTTCGTCGCTCTGTCTCTCTCGCACTCATTGGGCGTCCCGTGCAGGTGCAAAGGCGAGACAGAGCGACCAAAGCGACTCTCGGAATCAGTCTGCTGGCTCCAGCTGGCCCAGCAAGCAACCAACACGGCACCGCGCGGCGCGGCACGGCGGTCTAGGGTCGACGGCACAGTGAAGTAGAAAGGGGAGGGGGTGTCGCGCACCGATCAGCTGCTCGCTGGGGGTGGCCAGGCCAGCCAGCCAGCACAGGCAGGAAGTTCTCCGTGCAGTCTAGACGGGGGAGGGGCGCGGGGAGAGGGAGGAGGGGGAGGCGGCACCCCGCCGTGCACAGGCCGTGCAGGGGGGGTGAGGAGAGCATGGCGGCGGTGCGGGCCATCAGATGATTCGGTACGGGGGGAGGCGCGGGGAACGGGGACGACGAGTGCACCACCAGCATGCACCACCAGCATGCACACGCACATTTTTTCGCAGGCGGAGTCCGTCCAGCCCACTTCGCTTCGGATTGAAGAACCTCGGCGAGCCGCAGCTCCGAGCGAAAGAGGAGGAGGAGGGTGGTTGCGAAAGTGGAGGGGACTCCGGCGGCGGGGGGCACTTCCTCTCTTTCTCTGCCACAAAGAGAAGCTGCAGACCAATTCGGAGAGTCGTCGTCGTCGCTCTCTCTCTCGCACTCATGGGGCGTCCCGTGTGCGAGCGAGAGAGACAGAGCGACGATAATAACGACTCTGTGAATCCGTCCGCTGCAGCGGAGACCATCCGAGGCCGCCAAGCAGGCCGTCCAAATGCCGGCTTGGGTCCTAATGGTCCTGGGGGCATGGCGGCTTGGCCCAGCAGGCCCGGCCCAGCCCACCGCCGCGTCCTTGTCTAGCGTGGCCTAAAAAGCGCGCCTCGTGGAGCGGCGGCTGGCGGGGCCTGGCGTGGCCGGGGGGGGGGCGTTGCGCAACACAGCTGTTCGCCGGCGCGCGGCAACGCGGCGCGGCGCCAAGGTCTAGGATAGGACCCGCGGCAGGCAAACGCAAAGGCACGCCGGAGCAAGGCCCTTCGACGCGGATGGGACGGACCCGGCCGACGCGACGCCGCAGACTCATTCCGAGGGTCGTTTTCGTCGCTCCGTCTCTCTCGCACCTACGCGGGCCGCCCCATGAGTGCGAGATAGACAGAGCGACGAAAACGACGCGTGTCACAGCGCCGACCGTCCAGTCCGCCGCCAAGCCTCGACGCGTCCGTCGTCATCTTCGACGACGCGCACAAGCAGCCGAGCGATTCAGTTTGTCGCGCTGTCTCTCTCGCACCCTCACGGGAAGCCCCATGAGTGCGAGAGAGACAGAGCGACCCTTCCGAATCGCTCGGCGGGGCGTGGCCGGCTGGAATGCCCGCCATACGCACGCCGCCTTGCCACGCCTAGAGGCCGCGGCGTCGCGACATGTCCGCCGGCTAACGGAACGGGCCGCAGGACGGGCGGGCGGACGGACGGCCCCCGCGTGGCGCCAGCGTGCGCCAGCGTGCGCCAGCCCGGCGGAGCGCGGAGCCATCGCCGCGGACGCGGAGGGGCACGCCAGAGCACGCGGAGACGGGCAAGGCGGGGACCGCGGCGGGGCGGGGCGGTGTTGCGTCGTGGCGTGTCACGTTGCGTGGGGAAGGTGCGGAAGGAGGTTGGGGAGGAGGAGGGGAGGGGAGAGCCGCCGCGCTGCCCGCCTGTGCGAGGAGGTGGGGGAGGATGGCCTAGGAGGAGGCGGCCGAGCTGGCAACGCCGCTGGACGGACGCCTGGCTGGAGCTGGCTGAGCTGGCTCGGCTCGGCTGCTCGGCTCGGCCCGCCGAGCGCAGCGAGCGGCAAGCGCAGCGGGAGCGAGGAACTGAAGCAGCAGCAGAAGCGGGGCCGTCAAAGCCACGCGGCCGCGGCTCGGGACCAAGGACCAAGAACGACGCCCGAAGGCCCAAACGTGTTCCACGCCCCTTCCGCCTCCACGCTGCAGTGTTCACAGTCGTCGTCCTGCGTCTCTCGCATTCATAGGTCGTGCCGCAGGGGTGCGACAGAGAGTCGTTTTCGTCGCTCTGTCTCTCTCGCACCTATTCGGAACGGCCCATGAGTGCAAGAGAGAGAGAGAGAGTGACGAAAACGACTCTCGGAATCAGTCCGCTGCACTGCAGCCAGGCCGGCGTTCCCAGGCGCCGCTGCGCGAAAGAGCGCAATGGAGCGCGGCGCTGCACGCGGCGCTGAGCTGGCCGGCAGGTGCAGCAAGGTGCAATGCTCCCCGGCCGCGAGTGCAGTGCGGTGCAGTGCGGAGCAGTGCAGTCCGCCCGGCGCTGGCTG